ACCACCCCATAGTACCACTGAAGAACCTTTGAAGAACCAAACTGGGCTTAACAAGTTCTTTAAATTAGAGACCGACCGATAAAGGATTTTAAAGGCCGATACCGATACAAATATTTTGGGGTTTTAAAATCCGATATTCCGATATATCGGCCGATATTTTTTTTATCAAATATTGTTGGATTTCACACACGTGTAAAAGAAAAGCTAACTTTTCTGCACAAGATACGTTTGATACTTTTTCTCTATGTCTAAATATTCACTCCTCGCAAGTATAACTTGACTGTAACTAGAGATATGCTAGTTATAAATACAGTAATCATTACTTCATTTAAGCAGAAAAAGTTAATTGTTGTTTCCAAGCTCATTAATGTTAACGTTAGCAGTCTTGATGATAGTGCCATTAGCTAGCTTTGTGGTTAGCTAGTCTATGATGAGCCATAATTTAGCAATAGAAAACATCATACTGCAAATTATAAAACATACATTTTCAATATAACAGGCCAAGGAGAGATGATTGAAGCGTGTTTTGTCCGTTTTTATTTTTTAAATATTCATTTATCGGCCATTATAACTGCCGATACCGATATTTTGGATAATGCCGATATATCGGTCTGGCTCTACTTTAAATGGTAGTGGTGCTATATAGCACCATGACCACCACAAAGAACCCCTGAAGAACCCTGAAGAACCTTTTTTTAGAGTGTCACGACCATGTCAAAGTCAAAAAGTAGCTTGGATACCACTCTGCCTACAGTGACATCTGATTGGTCCAAAATTCTCTATATTAAACATGAAATGTGTTCTGATTAGGGTTGGGTATCGAGAATCGAGTATCGATTGGAACCGAGACTAACTTTTCGTTTTTCCCGGAATCGTTCAAAAGTTAAAATTTCGATTCCTAGTTTCGATATTCACAGTCCGCCGAGCGGAAGAAGAAACAGCTGAACAACACCAACGAAGAAGCGTCTACCGGAAGTGTTGGCATAACCACGCGAGTCGAACATGAGTACCTTACGTTGGCGATCCAAAGTGTGGCTTCACTTTTCTAAAAATAATGAAATCTCGGCAAAATGCAAAATTTGTGACAAAAGGAGTATTTTTACAGAAGGAGTATTTCCTTCAGAAAGGATTATTTCTTTCAGAAAGGCCGTTGGTTGGCAAGGTTAGCTAAACTTTTTTGACCCTGCCTCTTAAAAGAATCGGAATCGAGAATCGTTAGGAACCGGAATCGAAACAAGGAATCGCAATCGGAATCAGAATCATTCAAATTCAAACGATACTCAACCCTAGTTCTGATTGGCTTTTAGTTTACAGACAATATACTGTGTTCAGACTTTTCATTGGTCACATCCCCAGGGCAGCTGCTTCTCTTGTGTTTGCAGATGTGAGCTGCGGGAACTGTTAACTATTTTTGAAGTATGCAAGAAATGTGCGGCTTTTGTGCTTCTGAGCTGTAATTTACGTATAGCATTTAAAAAAGAACGATGAATCATATTCTCTGCTGTGGTTTTCTTTTTTCACTTTTTGCTGTTTGTCATGTCATTTCCTCAGCTGTACACCATCATGTGCATGGTCAACCACAATGTTTTTTTGTGTGTGCGTGTTCACACTTTTTTCAACCACAAAATTAGATACCCCCATCCAAAAAAAAGAACGGCTTTTGTATTTATAGCCTAAAGACAGGTATTTAGCACGAAGTGTGGAAAAAGAACGCCAAGGGAGAGAGAGAAGCAGAACTGGAGGGGAAGAAAAGTTACAAAAGGGAGGGCGAATCGAGCAGGCTTGGAACACACCCACTCGACTGCATGGGTCTTCTCTTTTGCTTTTTTGAAACGCCAGACTGGGTGAAAAGAAACAGTTCAGGTGGTTTAAACAGATCGGTAGAAAGTGTGAAACTGTGGCTTTACTAAAAGAACTGAAGTGCAGGAATGGCTGTATATCAAGGGTACAGAACGTACTCCACTGACAGCGTCGGCAGTGATGTGGTCTTCTCAGATGAAAGCCCTTACCAGGGGATGCTCAGGGCCATGGATGAAAGAAAAGGTACAGATTCGTCATTCTTCCATGCTAGCTATCAGAGACTAAATCTATTTATTTTTGATATCCTATTTAATCTTTACTTGATAAGTTCTGCAGTATAATATTATCATCTGCAGTCGTGATATGTAAATTTGGGCTAAAAGGACTGTTTTTATAATTTACACACACTTGAGGTAATTTAACAATTCTGCATCATAATTGGCTCTCCATGGACTGGTGAAAAGTACTTGTTATCTTTCCAACTAATGATAAGATGGGAAATATGTCAAATGGATGTTTTGGGGCTCCAAAAGGAGGGGCCATTGCAAAGGCGTATCCCAAATCTGGGTTGTGGTCCTGTGTGCACACGATTGGCATGTTAAAAATAAGGTCTCAGTTTTGGTTCAGCACAGCTCAAACGCTGTATATGTCATTGATTTATTTCTGACTATAAATTACACTGACTTATTACTTCATACGGTAAAACTCCATTCCCTCAAGCCATGCTTTCAGTTTTACGAGTGTCAAATTCAAGCTGCTGTGTGCAGAGGAATGCGTTTTCCCTCAGATCTTGTGTTTCTCCTTGTCTGACCATGAAAGCTTGAAAACCTAAACTAAACTAGGCTTTTATGTCGAATATGCATGTAAGGCGTTACCTTTCAGTAAGTTACCTTTCAATGAGGCTCCACATGGCTGTTGAAGTTTTGCTTGGAATTTAAAGTGCCACCCTGATCTGGCCTTTGACCTTTCAAACATGTCTCAGAGCTGTTCTCAGACCAGGTCACTGATGGAAACTATCATTACTCAAAACTGCAGTAAAACGCACCACCTGTGTCGTCTTTTCATGTCTCCACATGCTTCTGAATGTTTTGTGTTTTTTTAATATGTTAAAATGTAACAATGTTACTCAGTTGTGGTTGACTAGAATGTTTAATGTTTCATAAAGGACTTAAAACAATGAGTCATTGTGCTTTCAAAGGAATTGGTTTTCGTGATAGCACGAGTTTTGAGAAACAGGAAGTGATATGGTGATGCCAACTGGCGTTGTCACCATGGCAACAGAATGACAGAACAACAACATGCATCCTGTGCCCTGCAGCTGTTTTGATATAGCTAGTTGTCCTGCATAATGTTATCTTGTTGTGTTTTGATGATAAACAGAACTTTGGAGGTCGTATCACAAGAATTTCAGTCACGCTTGCTGGTCATCAGAAACATCATCAGTCTTAGTGATTTATCTGTGTTCATCTCCAAATGTTTTCTCTTATTGCTTTCATGCTAGCTCAAGTGTAACATCAGATAGTCAGAAAGGAACCTGAAAGTGGCATTTATACTGGTTTTATCGAATCGTTCTCTTATATAATGTCATAATGCATTTTAGATTGTTTTGTATTGTTAAACCCATTAGATTACTTGTGGAACATCTCATTCCTTTAGCACAGCAAATAAATGTTTAATGACATTAATGATGGTAATTCAAGATGAAGGTAAACATAGAACATTTGAAGCTTCTAAACAAATTGAGGAGAAAATGAAATAAAACAGTGCTGGTAAAACCTTATTTGAGGTCAGTCATGGGTTTCTCAGAAGCATCTTGTTCCCATCACACATTGGAACATTTTAGGCTGTCCCAAACAAAAGATGGCCAATCGTGGCAATTCCTGTGGTCGTGGCTCCTAAACGGTGGCCGTGGTCCTACGTCAGACATTCAAAGACGGCCATTGTCATGGTCTTGTGACCGAAGATATTTGGAAGATATAAAGATGTCTACTGACTAGCCAATAAAATTGCAACATTAAATGGCGTATTGATCAACGCGACATGGCACTAAAACTTAAAACTACCTCAAGCTCCATGCCAAGTTGGTCGCTTTAGTCTATATTCTCCTCTTTCACCTGCTCTTCTTTTTCAGTGCACATAAAACACCACTTTTTTCTATACTAACTTACATCATAGCCTACGATGCATGTTCTATCCAAGTTTATTAGATCCATGTAATACAATGTGATTTGTAATGATCTTGATGATTGCCAGAATCGGACAGACTGTAGCAGGGTTACGTTACAGACAATTACATTATTTTTGTTAATTATTTATTTTGCTCCTAGTGAATCACTAGTCACTAAGACCTGCAAATGTCTGAACTCAAGTAAAGAAAATAAAACAAAGAACTGAAAAAAGTTAAGTCAGTCATCTGCAATTTAAAGAGCTAAAATCATTCACTCTGTTCACTTTCACCAGTGCAATTTTTGAAATCCTCAAACTAGCAAATATAGACCGCTAATTTACTCTGTGGTATCTCTAAGATATGCATGTTCACAACGGGGGCCCACCCAATCACAGTGCACAATTTTGGGTAATTAAATAGGCTACCACTGAGAACACTGCGATTCTGCTTCATAACATACACTGCTATTCAAAAGCTTGGGGTATGATTACAATTCAAAATAACTTTTTTCTACTTTTATTATTTTAAAGGCTAATTTATGTGCTGGCAATTTTCAGTGTCTTCAGTGTCACATGATCCTTCATAAATCATTCTAATACGCTGATTAGGTGTTCAAACTGTGATCTTTTTTTTTTCAGGATTCTTTGGTGAATATATTTGAAATAGAAATATTTTCTAACATTATAAATGTCTTTTCTGACACTTTTGATTCAATTTAAAGTGTAAATTTAAATTCAGTCCCTTTGCTGAATTAAATATTTAATTTCTATCAAAAAAATAACACGGACCCCAAACTTATTGTAGTGAAATTTTATAGAATGAAAAACTATAACGATATATCGCGTGCAAATATTATGAAAAACATGTGCTTCTCTAAAATCCTCTCAATGTGAAACCACATAAAGCACTATTATCTGAGAATAAAGAGAACTACTCATCAATTCAGAAGTTTCCTTTGGTATGCTATTTCATTTGTGGTTTCCAGTGTTCCTCTCTGATTTGACTGAAATTTTGTACTTTTTGTGTCTTGCAGATGAACGAGATCGAGTACAGAAAAAGACCTTCACAAAATGGGTGAACAAGCATCTGATGAAGGTATTACCATCCAGATAAAAAATTCAAACAATCGAAAACGATTCTAAGTTTACAGCCGTATACAATTACTCGAGGTGCTTGAGAATCATACGGTCACAGAGATTCAATTGAATCGTATTGTGAATCATATGCAATGTGCATTTTCCTTTTGCTCAATGGTTATTCTATACTCTTAAAAATAAAGGTTATATATTAGCATTTCCTGTTCCATGAAGAAACTTTAACATCCATGGAACAAAAGGTTCTTTATAGTGGAACAATGTTTCTTTAGATGTTCTTTCTTCACACTAAGAAAAAAAAGCAATTTTTTACATTTTGCTTGTTGATTTATTAATTGGATTTCAGGTCATGAACATATTGTTTGAGAGTGTAGATAAAAAAAGAGAGAAAATAAAATTAATATACTCTTAGTCTAGTTTGACCAACTTTATCAATTCATTAGTTACAGCTGCTTGATTGGGAACAATTAGCATATACTAAAATGACACAGAAAACATTGTTACATGGAAAATAACAGGGTATACCGAAGTGCAAGAGTGGAAATGATAGGAGCGTGTGTGAGAGGGAATTGAGAGAAAAGCCATCAGTTCAGTGGGAAATACAGTTTTTGTTTGTCTGTATGTGAAAACATATGGCGAATGTACTGTACTTTTGTGCCACCGCTGCGGAGATCATGGTGGTTAAATAATCATCCTGTATACACCCAGTACACTGCACTGCTGAAAGGTGCTGTTTATTTATTTATGAGTGTTTGAGGATGAGTCATCAACATCTGGTCTCATTTTATATCCCCTAAGAAACAGATCGTTTTCTTGGTACCACTTGTTTTTCTTCCGGCTATCTGGCCCACTGGCGCCCCCTGCCCTAGCTGCTGCCACGAGCAGTTGTGCCAATTTGAAACAACTGTTTTACCCTAAAACAAACAGAGAAAGCAAAACGAGTGATGATTTATTGTACTGTAGTGACAATTAGATCAACAATTGTCAAACAAAACTTTTTTATCTAGATTTAATTATTATATATTCTTCAGCTCTTATGACCTCATATTAGACATTGCATATTTGTATATTTGTATATACTGTATATATATATAAATTAAAGAAAGGCAGACTTCCTTTTCCCTTAGTTTTTCTACTTCATCACCTCTGGAAAGATGAATGTGTATTTAAAATGGGTCAGTTATGTGGAAGAAATGTGAAATTCTGTACTGAGAAAAGCCAGAAAATGTATTTTTGCTTATGTGGATGAAAGACAACAACTCCCAGAATGCACTTGCTTCGCTGCCCTAGGAGGCCACACCTACTGGTAACAGAGCACAGTAGTTAAACAACAACGATAGGCTACTTGTGAGTCTCCATGATGAGTCTGCCCGAAAATGTGTTTCGAGATCGCCCAAAATGTCCAGGATTCGGCTTTTGCATTCTACAGTCGCCATTCATTATGTTTAACTGTGACGAGCAGGACAAGACTAAGGGTCGCGGGAGAATGGCGTGAGGCTGGTGGCGTGATTACTGATGAGCGACACCTGAGAGACGCACCGGTCTCATATCTCTCACGGAGGAATTGAAGAGTTCAGATGCAAAAGCCTCTAAGTGCCATTTGAAATTTTCTTCTAAAATGATCATTTTTATCAAGCGTGTATATTTAAGTTCAGTAATTTCACTTAAATGGCAATGAAGATTACCTATTAATTGTCATTTAAGTGAAATTACTGAACTTAAATATACAAGCTTGATAAAAATGGTCATTTTAGAAGAAAATTTCAAATGGCATTTAGAGGCTTTTGCATCTGAACTCTTCAATTTTCTTAGCAATGTTAAAACGCACATCAACCGATCACTTTTTTAGCGTTCATGTAAAGACTACATTCAGATTCACCAATCGGAATGAATTCAGTTAGATTGAAACGAAAGCTGTCCATGTAAACATGAATGGCGACTGCAGAAAGCAAAAGCTGAATCCTGGACATCAACGGCCAGACATGTCCGGGAAAAAGAGGATGGTAACCCCTACTATTCAGCTTTCTCCACAGAACAAGACCCTGCTAGCTTAGCTTCCAAAAAAAGATGGCTGACACTATGTGTTCATTCTGTGAGTGAGATCCCACCCTCTATTGGGTGGGTTGAGACTGACTGGTAGACCTGTAGTCTTTAGCCTCTGGCCAAAAAAATCCTCAGATGACGCAAAATGATGATTTTTGTGTCATCAGAGGATTTTTTTTCCAGGACAAAAAATACATAAAGGGTTCGTACAAGGTGCTTGAAGTACTTGAATTTGACTTTTTGAAATTTAAGTCTTGGAAAACCCTTAAAAACAGCCATATTTTTGAAGAGGCACTTAAAAAGTGCTTGAATTATTGATTAGTGTTTCCACTAAATCAATCTTTTCAATCAAAATAAATGCGGCAGCCTGACTGAGATATACGCCTTATTCACAGCAGCGCCATCTTTGATTTTTAATGAGAATGAAAGCGAGGCTGTGAGGGATAGACATGCATCTCTTCAATGGGCTGTACTGTTATTTAATGTGTTTTCGGATTGTTCTGCTCATGAAAACCTGGAAAAATATCTTTCCAAGAAATTTCAGTTGACAAAAAACTCCCGACAATGTAAGCTGTGAAATTGTAAGTAATCTAGGAGCTTTTTACAGCGGATGCCATTGGAAACACGGTAAGTCTATCCCTCACAGCCTCACTTTCATACCTGTCGCGGTGCTCTGAATAAGGTCTATAGAGCTATTTCGCACAATATTAATGATACTTTCATTTAAAGAACTTTCATTCTTCTGGTCAATCATATATTAATGAAAAAAAATCTGTTTAAATGAGGAAGGCGATATCTTTGTCATATCCTTTCAATGGTTAATGGGATTTCCCATGCCTGACTGTGCTGGTCAATGGATTGATCTCTATGAAGTGAAACATCATACACCTTATATCTGTAATTTGATTTAAACACCAACAAGTTGTTTAGTTAAAAAAAAAAAATCATTAAATTATTACGTTTAATTATTTAAATAAAATAGTTAAGCACTTTTCATTTTGACTGAAGCCGTGTTATTTTTTGAATTGTGCTAGGCTGATGTTTCTTCATCCGAGGAGGAGGAGTAGAGTTTATTTGGTGGTCTGCAGTTCAGATCCAGTGACTCAGAGGCTTTGCTGTGGGTTGTTTGTGTGCCGTTTGGGATGGAAACCTGGGACAGCAGCATAGCCTTTCTGTCTCTCATTTCAATCTGGACACAGAGAACGCCAAACTTTAAGATTAAAAAGGTTTATTAAGAATGAATTGCCAAAATGATGGTTTCCGCAGATGTGTTTGTGATGTTTCATTGCTCGTTCAGTCTTAATAATATGCTTGGAATTACATTCAAAAGACAATTAAATATAGATGTTATGTCACATACATTACTGTATGTGCAGTGCTCTATCATATTTAATTTGTTGATTCATAATTGATATTACATTTAAACAAATATATTGTTTCAGTCATCATTGTATACATTTAAATGCACATTTAATGATTCAAATCAATTTAAATGTTATATTCACCTCATCATACAATACTCTATTCATTTCACTGTTATATCTGTTTGTCTCTCACTGTCTATCTTACAGTTCTCATTGTATTTCCCATCTGGTCCAACCTTTCTCTTTTTTATCTTTCCATTTCCCATCCTTTCCTCCATGTGTCTATGTCAGCACTGGAAGGCAGAGGTAGGTGGTGTCTGTGATCACACCTTTGCAGAGTGACTTGCATGGGTTACACATGCACCGTAGTTTCTGAACCTAGAGCTAACACACACGCTCCCTGCCTTCCTTGCATGAAATGCAGTGTTCTAACACTTAAGATGCCCCCCACCCCTTGTGTATTGTGTCTCCTTTAGTACTTTCTGTGTTTACTGCTTCAGGCTCCAGATATTGTCCTTTGTCAAAGAGTACATCCAATTTCATTAGATATGGTGGCCCACAAATGTATGAATTTTGTAGTACAGAACCATCAAACTTCACTTTCCTGAGCCATTTTTGTAAATAAAATCCCATGGTTATTTTTAATGGATGTCTGGTGTTAGTTCCCACATTGTAAACTGAGTCACATATGGAAAGCTCTGTCTGAACAGCTTTTATTTATTTATTTATTTTGTGAGAAAGGTCAATTTAAATGACCTTGTCCTTGACCCATATTTTCCACAGAGATTGGGAGCGTCATGATATTTGCGGTGTGTGTGTGTTTTGTGTGTAGTCTTAAAGGCATAGTTCACCCAAAAATGAATATTTAGTCAGTATTTACTCACCCTCAAGTTGTCCCAGCCCCGTAAGACCTTCGTTCATCTTCGGAACACAAATTAAGATATTTTTGATGAAATCTGAGAGCTGGATCACTCCTCCATTCTAGTCCATAGGCTTTTTGAGGGATTGAAACTTGCCGGCCTCGAAAAGTTATTAAAGACATTGTTAAAATAGTCCAAGTGACTACAGTGGCTCAATCTTAAGTTTATCAAACGACGAGAATACTTTTGTGCACAAAAACAAACATAAATAACGACTTTATTTCAACTATTCACTTCCTTCTCTGTGGACCTCTAGTCAGTTAACGTAGTGTGATAGCGTAGAGCTACGTCACACGTAGGCTCACTATTGGCCGACGCTGGTCATGTGTGTGATGCGTGTGACGTATAACAACAGAAGCTTACGCTGTTACACTCATAGATATCTGTATAAAGGCTAGATATCTCGTCCGTGCTGCTGGCCAATGGAGGTCGACGTCAGCACCTGGCGGCCATCTTGTCACAGGCAGCTCGCTCACTGGTAACATTTTTTTAATGGTGCATGTACTTTTTAATTCACCATAACTTGCTCAATTTTCTACCGATTATTATAAACGGCAGAGATGTAGTTATGACACTGCATACTTATGAATAATAAGTGTATAAATAAATAATCATCCAGAATTACAGCCACGTTAATAACGTTTGTAAGAAACCAAACCGTTTGTAAATCCGTCAAGATTTCAACGAGAAAAGAGTATTTCTTACATCAGATACCACAGCGCCCGCCAGAAAGCCTGTCTGTGACAAGATGGCCGCCGGTGATGACGATAAATACTCCGCCGTGAGACATCTAGCCTTTATATAGATATCTATGGTTACACTAGTAACCTGACTCTAGGCTCAGAGAGAAAGACATGAATAGTTTAAATAAAGTCATATTTTTTGTATTTTTTTTGCGCACAAAAAGTGTTCTTGTCGTTTGATAAACTTAAGATCGAGCCACCGTAGTCACTTGGACTATTTAAACGATGCCTTTAATAACTTTTCGAGACCGGCAAGTTTCAATTCCTCGAGAACCCTATGGACTAGTATGCAGGAGTGATCCAGCTCTCAGATTTCATCAAAAATATATTGATTCGTGTTCCGAAGATGAACGAAGGTCTTACGGGGTTGGAACGACATGAGGGTGAGTAAATACTGACAGAATTATCATTTTTGGGCGAACTATCCCTTTATTACTTAGAAAATAGATTTGTATGGGTCCATTTTTAAATTAACTTAAAACTTTCTTTTAGAAAAAAAATATGGGATGATAATAAAACAATAGGTATGTATAGTTAGATGGTCATCATTATCAAAAAATATACTTACCTATCAAGTCATTTAGCAGTTGACACATACTGTACAATTATTTTAAATACAATACCATTCAAAAGTTTTATGTTCATAAGAATTTTTAATGTTTTTTGTGATCAATATTTTTAAAAATAATATTTTAGTGCTGCTTAATATTTTTTTCAGTATTTTTAGATCAATAGAAAGTTCAAAACAACAGCTTTTGTTTAAAATAGAAATATTTTGTGACATTATTAATTTCTTTACTGTCACTTCTGATCAGTTTAAATCTTACTTTTTTTAAGTAAAAAAAAAATGTTTGACTTCCTGATGCTATACAGTCAATCAGTTATAATAATCAAGCATTCCTGAGTTATTAGCATAATATTGTTTTAACCATACAGTATTACACTTCTCACAATTTCCATAATTTGTAATGATTTCCTGTTTGTTTGTTTTTTGTCAGGCCCAGCGACACATCACAGACCTGTACGAGGATCTCAGAGATGGACACAACCTCATCTCACTGCTGGAGGTGCTGTCTGGAGAGACACTGGTAAGTTAATGCTGATGTGGGATCACATTGTCCCTCCACAACCCTATTCAAAACCTAGTTCCAAACATCAGTCTGGCAAGGCTAACTCTCCCTACCTGGATCTCTTCCCCTAACATAAGCCCCTCGTCTACCTGTGTCCTCTTGCTTTATAGACCCTTTGTGATTAAGTGAAGTTACCCTTCAAATCTGCATCTGATTGGATAGTCCTATAGTTTTAACACCCTCAGATTTGTTTTGCATGCATCAATGTTTGACATCTGGCATTCAAATCTGTATGACCAGTGGGCGTAACCATGCATACAGAAATGTGTTGGTAGGAATGAATGCCTCCTCACATCTCCCCTTCCTGATGAGCACTTCTACTGTGACTGTGTCTTTTTTGCATTGCGTCTCACTCCTTTAACACATTAACAATCTGACATTTTCTGCCTCAGTTTCAACTCTGCACCGGTTTGACCCCCTTGACCATTCCTTTTTCAACTTCCTGTTTGCTCACCTCTGCCCTGACCTTGACCCCTTTGCCTTTGCCTCCTCTCTTGCGATGCTCTTGCTGTGGTAGCCGAGGGAGCGAGACGTTGTCAGGAATTCGCGGTTGGTGAGTTGGGTCTGAAAATTTCCGGCTCGCCTCCCCGGAAAGGGGTGTGGCATGTGTCACTGCCAGGGGAAATGTGTTGTGCATGATGTCACTTCCTTTATCATGTCGCCTGTTGACAGTGCTGTCCTCCCCCCATGTTCGAGAAAGTATTCAGTTAAAAAGTCAAATAAATCACGCTACTATTCGTATAGAGTGTAACAGTGCCCGCTCCCTTTATCAGCGGTGCTGGTTCCGGAAGTTTTTAAAGAGTTATATGCCATGAACCAAAATCAGACAAAAAGAAGAGACTGTGTACTTAACAGTTTTAGTGTGGGAAAGAACTACAATCCCATGAACCATTGCGAGCAGCAATCAAATGAAAAATGTTCGAGAAATATAAAACTACTCAATTATGTCATTTGCAGTGCTTCATGGGAGTGGGCGGAACTAAAAAGCTATTTTGGAGCTTTTTTTTTTTTACCTGATTGTAATTTTCTACGAAAGCGTTTTGCATTCACTTGAAGAAAAAAATCTACTCTGTTTTTCTGAATTAGTGACTCAAAATTACGAAATAATTTTTCATTAACGAGTTAATTATATCAGAATTACGAGATAATTTTTCTTGGAAAAAAGTTTTTGCTCTGTTTTTCTGAATTAATGAGTTAATTATCTCAGAATTATGAGATAATTTTTCTTGGAAAAAAAGTTTTTGCTCTGTTTTTCTGAATTAATGAGTTAATTATCTTAGAATTACAAGATAATTTTTCACGGAAAAAAGTTTTTGCTCTGTTTTTCTGAATTAACGAGTTAATTATCTCAGATTCCAAGAACACAAGATGAGATGTTCCTAACCTTTGTGCAAGCACTCCCAAGAGTTCTCAGAATTACAAGATAATTTGTCATGGAAAAAGTTTTTGCTCTGTTTTTCTGAATTAACAAACTAATTATCTCAGATTTACGAGATAATTTTTCATGGAAAAAAGTTTTTGCTCTGTTTTTCTGAATTAACGAGTTAATTATCTCAGAATTACAAGGTAATTTTTCATGAAAAAAAGTTTTTGCTCTGTTTTTCTGAATTAATGAGTTAATTATCTTAGAATTACAAGATAATTTTTCACGGAAAAAAGTTTTTGCTCTGTTTTTCTGAATTAACGAGTTAATTATCTCAGAATTACAAGATAATTTGTCATGGAGAAAGTTTTTGCTCTGTTTTTCTGAATTAACAAACTAATTATCTCAGATTTACGAGATAATTTTTCATGGAAAAAAGTTTTTGCTCTGTTTTTCTGAATTAACGAATTCATTATCTCAGATTTACGAGATAGTTTTTCATGGAAAAAAGTTTTTGCTCTGTTTTTCTGAATTAGTGACATGATTATGTCAAAAATTCAGAAAAACAGACCAAAAACTTTTTTTTTCCATGAAAAATTATCTTGTAAATCTGAGATAATTAACTCATTAATTCAGAAAAACAGGGTAGACTTTGTTTCCTCAAGTGAATGAAGTACGCTTCTGTAATTTTCTGAACGCCGTCATGGGTAATATCGTTTTTCACCAGGAATATACAACTGTTAAACACAATCATTTAAAAAAAAATAATCTGAAATAATGCGGGATTAAAAATCGCATAGCTCACAGTAGGTCTGTCTTTAAAGGTTTATAGGTTATCGTTTAATTTTTAATTTTTTTTTTTACTTCCGGAACCCAACTGTTGCACTCTATAGGACTTAAAAAGTCAGGGTGGTTATTCAGTGTTTTTCGGTTCTTGTTTTTGTGATGGAATGTTCTGGAATGCATTGCATTCACTTTCAGGGAACCATTAACTACAGGGTTTCAGGAATATAAAATCGTTTTAGTTATGCATCGATTCATGTCTTCTCATGTTTGCAGAAAACATTAGTGACATCATGCACTGCAAGCCAATAAGAGCTTGGCTCGTGGGACAGCTTAGCTTTTGATTGGCTATTTCTTGTGATGACTGATTGACAAGTGTCATTGCATGTTCTTATTGTATGCTGGTGCATTTTGTCCACATTTTGGCATATAGTGGGTGTATTTACATTCCGGTTCATAGATTCATAGATAATGAAGCTGGAATATCTCTGGTCCTTGGCTTACAGAATAATAAGGCTATGATCTAGTACAATGCAGTTGTCTTTAAAATATTAGAGTGTCGTTTCTGCGTTTTTAAAAAACATATATATATAACGCATTGTTTATTTCATGAAATGTCTAAGATGTTAGAAAGAAATCGTGAATTTGTCAAGTTATGGTTTACTTTATCTTAGGGATGCACAAATATTAATCGAACATAATTAGACATTAATTTTGTATTGTTTTTTTACTTTTTAAATAGTCTTTTTCTGTGCAATTTAAAAGTGCAAAGCAGTTATCAGTGTTACTGTTCAATAAAATGTTTGAAGAACCATATTTTTGTGTTTGAAACAGGCAAGACATTATTTATAATAGTCCTATATCTTTGCTGGTGCATCCCTACCCTAGTTATTGTTACGTTTGTTTATTTAAAATATTTGTTTTATCATTCATTTCAGTACATCTATAATCTAGGCCTTCACATAACCGCATCTAAATCTTTGAGAACTCATCTTCCTTTTTTTTAATCTCTGCTTATATTTGTTTTCCAGCCCAGAGAGAAGGGTCGCATGCGCTTTCACAAACTACAGAATGTACAGATCGCACTGGACTTCCTCAAACATAGACAGGTACAGTGAACCAAACACTTTACAAGCCATTATTTTATACATTTATAAATCAGAGATGTGATACATATAAAGCTAGATTTTATTGGTGAGAAGTTATGATAGCTTTTTATTAAAAACATTCACTAACATTCTCATTACAGATCATGAGTTTCTTTTTTAATTTCCTCCTGAAGTACCTTTACAGACCCACAGAGGGCTATGGACTCATATGACCTGGCCTTATACAATTTCACTTTTTAACACAGATCTCATTGTTTGACAGGTGAAACTGGTAAACATAAGAAATGACGACATCGCAGATGGAAATCCAAAACTGACCCTCGGGCTAATATGGACCATCATTCTTCACTTCCAGGTTTGGTGTAGCACCGGTTGTGCTTTACCTACACATAACAGACACACTCTTATTCGTCTTTATATGCTGTCTTTAGGTTTGCTTCACAGATTTCCGTTTCCCCTTTAACTGTTTCAAAATGTTTTAGACTCTCAACTTACTGTTACTATTGCTGTAACAACAGACATCTGTGCAGACTTGTGAAAGGGTTTAATGAATCATCTGGCAATAGTGAAATAGAGATCACTTTTCATCAATGTACCAAATATAAATCTCACAAAACACAGCAAAGTGTTGGTTGTATTTTCAGATGTGATCTCAAGTTAAGTGATTTTTTTTATTTAAAAAACAACAAACAAACAAAACAATAAAGAGAACCAACCCGAGTTTTGTACCAGGTACATATGGTTGGTTTTCTAGGCCAATGCACTGTTGTCTTTGGATTGCTGTTCAAAGTTTTCTCTCATCACGAGGAGACTGGAGCACATTTGTAAAAAAAAAAAATCAATAAAACTCAAGCGTCCATCTTCTTGGGATTATGGGCAGGGACGGTGTCCATTTCGGTTGGTGACTCACATGTTCCCTTAAGGAAGGGGAAGCAGGCACGCTGGCATGGTGGTTTGGTGACTCATGAGACCAACCGTTCTGTTTTTGGTTGTGGGATTGAATCTTAATTGTGTTCTTTTCCTTCCATTTTTTAAATGCATTTGTCATTTCACAAAAGCTCATTGTGTAGAACTTTTTGAACGAGTCGCATTTTTGGTTATTTTCAGCAAGTTTAAGTTGAGTTGTTTATCTGGTCGGACATACCTAGAGTAAAGGTTATATATAATACAATAAACACACTGCAGAATTGGTAAAAGCAATGCAGAATATAGCTTAAATGATGCATTATCTACTATTGAGTCTGGGACCAAATCTTTGGTAGTTCCTTTTAATTGTTGAGCTTATTCTTTTTACAAACTGTGAGAGGCAAGGAATCCTGCATTGAAAGAAACCTTAAATGACCCTCTTGGCTCTCGTAAAGCTAGGCTGCGAGGGAGGAGGACGTGTTTCCGTGTCTGAGTCATTGTGTACATCCTCAGTATAAGGATCCAGAGGTTTAGGCCAACCAGACTTCCCAACAAAACTCTTATAATTGGAGGAAACTTAAATTTTAGCCGTTGCACAGTAATTGCCCAAAGGGGAATCCTGATGATGAGTCACCAGAGGAACGAACACATGCAAAATCACAGACTAAAAGTTGAACAAGCCTCTTATTATAAACGAAACTTATGATCACTGCTAACCACAATGTTTGTCCAATGTCCATAGTATCTTGGCAACAGTGAGGATATTTAAAGTATACTTCTTTTTTTTTTTTTCTCAACCTTAAATTATGAAATGGCATATTTTCCCAGAGCATTATAGGGTAGTTTTTTATTATTGGAAAAGCAATAAACTGCACATTTTTAACTATGAAACAGACATTTACTGAAAACAGTGTAAACTTTGTTTGAATATAGTAACGTAAATTGTTAACTGCATTTAGTCAAAAATATTATATAATAATTTCATGATACATAATCTGTTTTTTTCAAACCATTTTTACGTTGATTCTGATTTTATTCATACGAAATATAAAAAGTTGTTTAGTTTCCAAATATGTTCAGTCTGTTTTCTATAATAATTAATTGCAATTAAACGCATCCAAAATAAAATTGTGATTAATCGCATCCAAAATAAAAGTCTGTGTTTACATAATATATTTGTGTGTGCTGTATATAATTATTTTCTACAAATAAATACCTATGCATGCATGTATATATTTAAGAATTATTTGCGCTTAAATTCTGTATATATTTATAAATACATAATCTATAGTATATAAATATTTTATATATGAATAACACATTTTCTTAAATATATACATGCATGTGTGTGTATTTATATATACAAAATAATTATATACAGCACACACAAATATATTATGTAAACAGACTTTTATTTTGGATGCGATTAATCGCATTAATTTTTGCACAGCCCTAATATATATATATATATATATATATATATATATTGATACATGCATGTGTATTTATTTATATATGCAAAATAATTATACACCGCACACATATATTATGTAAACTCAACTTTTGCTTTGGATGCGATTAATCTTTGTCCAGCACTAATATGACAGTAATTTCTTAATATTTTTAGGGCCTTTCACACCAAGGACTATAATTATAACAATAACAATAAAGATATAGTTCTAATTGTTCTAAATATAAAACAATAGCAGAGTCCACATCACAACTATAATGATAACGGCATAGAGAAACGATATAGTTGGGCATAGCATTAGCACAGTATAGCATTTAAATCAGCAGATAAAAAACTGCAGCATGCATTTAGAATAAACAGAACGATATCATCCGCTGGTTCATTGTCTAGTATTTTTATATGATTATACATCATTTGTTTTATTGAAACTATATGGTTTTCCTTTGCTCCATCAGATCTCCGATATCCAGGTGAACGGTCAGTCAGATGATATGACCGCCAAGGAGAAGCTGCTCTTGTGGTCTCAGCGGATGGTGGAGGGCTACCATGGCCTGCGGTGTGACAACTTCACCACCAGCTGGAAAGATGGCAGGCTCTTCAACGCCATCATCCATAAACACAGGTAGAACCTCCTTGTAAATAGAGAAAATGTTCTTGGAACTGAGGCTTAGCATTTAGAACACATGCATTTAGCATTTAAACCACGATGCTCATATGAAAGAGGCAGATTTATGAGGCAAAACTCTTTATAAAGTGATCTTAGTTCTCGAGAAATGACAAATACGCTTGTATCTCAGGGCCGTTTATGCATTTTCATCTCCAGACTTGCTTGCTGTATTTGCCATGTCAATCACAAACCACTTCTGCTCCTTGCCGGGTCTATAATTTATGCCCTAATTCCTGCCTTTTACCAAGTGATGTTTGACAAGAAGCAAGATTAGTCATGTCATACTTAAAGGTATTCACCTGTTTGCACTTTCATGTGCACACATGGGATTCAAAAAATTTCGTGCAACATCTTTAGAATTGCTGACCTACTGCAGCCTTCATACAAATACCTCATAAAGGAGTAGTTCACTTTTAAAAAAAAACTTTTGCTGATCATTTACTCACCCCCATGTCATCCAAGATGTCCACGTCTTTCTTTCTTCAGTCGAAAAGAAATTAAGGTTTTTGATGAAAACATTCCAGGATTTTCTCCATATAATGGACTTCATTGGGAACCAAACGGTTCAAGGTCCAAATTAGAGTTTCAGTGCAGTTTCAAAGGGCTTTAAACGACATTAGACGATGAATAAGGGTCTTATCTTGGACCCGAAAAAAGATTTGTTCATTTTGATGAACGAGTTCGAACAGGAGAGTCACGAACGCTCATCACAGAACAGAGCGAGGCGAGCATTTGTGCTTATAAAACTTCAACTTTTTTATTTATTTTTTAAATGACCGATCGTTTCGCTAGATAAGACCCTTATTCATCGTCTGGTGTCATTTAAAGCCCTTTAAAACTGCACTGAAACTCTCATTTGGACCTTAAACCGTTTGGTTCCCATTGAAGTCCATTATATGGAGAAAAACCTGGAATGTTTTCATCAAAAACCTTAATTTCTTTTCGACTGACGAAAGAAAGACTCCTTTAACCACATCAAACTTGGTTGAGTTTAAGTAACATTTTACAGGATTAAGTTCAGGTATGTTCCAATTGGCGCTGATGAATGGAGTTCAAAACTAGAATCACGTAATTAGGGCGTGTTGAATCTAATAGGATCCCCAGAGGGTGTGTTTTTCACATTCAGCTGCATAGCTCAGGTTCACCCTACACTACCAGGCACAGATGACACTTGAGATTTGAGCAAATAAGGAGCGGTTTGTCTTCCCTCTCGCTTGCAATTTAAACATTATGATACTGTACAGACTACAATTTGAACGGCACTGGGAAAGTAAACAAAACACGTGGAGTGCAGTTGAAGCTCTCAAAGCTTGATGGAGGGTGTTTTCACCGAGGAACGACTTTGCTAACCGTTGACTGGATAGTAAATCGCATTGGGAAAGAATACTCATCTGCACCCTGTGTGATTTAAAGAATGGGAAATTGAATCCAACGCAATGTTCAATCTCAAGAAGAAGTTTCTCTCCAAGAAGAGTCGCAGCAGCTCGTCCAGCCACGGATCCGTCAGTGACCTGGAGGACCGAGTGGTCATGCTGTGTGAAGATGTGCCGTCAGAGGCTTCTTTCGATTCGGGCCAGGGGTCCATCAGCCCTGGTGCCTGCTCAAGTGGTGGATCCCAAAGCGGAGATCTTGAACATGTCATGGAGCAAAGGCTCTCTAGAGACGTCTTTTCTTGCAGGAAGGTGTTCGTCTCAGATGCTGAGATTCCCTGGGGCCAGCCATGCTACCTGCTCTCCCAGACAGTCAAACAGCCGTATGAATGCTTTGGTTTTATTTGTTGTATTAAAACGAGAGAGCAAAGCAATTCTGCCATTGACTTTGTAGCTTTAGCAATTTAACTGATACTCTCAGTAATTCTTAGTAATTGTGTGTGTGCATAATTTCAGAAAGTGCAGTGTGTGTGCGTGTATTTTTACAGTAATTGTTTTTTCTGGCACCTTGCAGTGATTGCTGTTGAGTGAGTACTTAGTCACATAAGACATACGCTTTTTTTTTTTCTTCAAATCTCTCGTGAAGAGACATCTATCTTGCCTTCACCTGCCCGGGCACTGGCACAAATGTTTACATAGCCTCCAGGTTTGGCCAAGCAGTGTGCAGTTAAATAATGATCTGCAAGTAGTATGCGTCCAAATGAGATCCGGATGAAATTTTCATTTTAAATGCTCACAATTCCTACGGGTTGGATTTCTGTTTGCTAAAATGGAAAGTAATTCTTTAAACAAAGCAGACATTAAAATGCAAAATAATAGACAAAATAAGGAGAATCTTTGTTAAAATTTAAATAATTCAAGTGTGTAGTCTTTCGATATCCAATCGTGTTTTTTATTCCTTTCTAGAGTCATATTTTATTTATTTATTTTTTATTTAACAGTCAGACATACAAGCCAACGTAGTGCAGTAGTGAACCATCTTGTAATTACATAATTCCAGAAGTGAAATAAAAGTGTTGCTTTCAGAGCCGGACAGTATTGGAGTACATTTACTTGAGTACAGTACTTAAGTACAATTTTGAGGGATCTGTACTTTACTCGAGTATCATTTGAGAGGAAAATATTGTACTCTTTACTCCACCACATTTCTATCCATAACCGTGAGTACGAGTAACTACTTCTAAAAAAAAAAAAAAATGGAAATAAGAAAAATCTCGGAAACCCTCAATTTGTTGTTTCCCTCTCAAACGTGATTGGATTGTGCAAGCGCCACTGATTGGGACAGCCTATCAGCAATCACTTTCAGCTTTCCGCCAAAGTCAACTCAATGGTCAGATTTAGATAAGAGACGAAACCATGGATAAAGACGCAGCAGGTCCATCCCGTGAATGTGCCAACTCATGGCCCCATCCCGCCAGACTATTTCAATTTTCTGAATATTCTGAAATTTTCTTAAATGTTAAATAAAGCAACAAGATAAAAATATGAATATGACTTGATTTTACTTTCAATTCCTTTTACATTCTCCAAGGTATTGACATTGACATTGACATTTTTCATAATTCCATGTAGGACGTTTCTGTACATAAATGTAAGCACAGTGTCAGTAGTAATGCAATATTTACAAAATGTACTCTTGATACCCAAGTACTTTTAAAAACAAGTACTTCTGTAATTTTACTCAAGTAGACATCAGACTGTAGTATTTTTACTTGTACTTTTAAATTTAGCAAGGGGTATCTGTACTTTTTCTCAAGTAATAAAGCTGTGTACTCTGTCCGCCTCTGGTTGCTTTATGGGTGGGTGTGAGTGTGGGCATGTGTGTGTATGCGTAAACAAAGTAACCATTTATTATTTATTACCATCGACATTACCATCACCACTTCCACTCCCCACTACCTCCATATTGCCAATATCTTATTAGTCAATTTTTATTTTTATTTCCATCTTTCCTCCTATGTAACAATTGCCATTGTCAATACTGCCTAAAATAAAAGATGGTATAATAAGATAATATAAGAAAGTTTTATTTTTTTCATTGTCCCCCTTTAACTATTTTGTGAATTCTGTTTTTCGTTCTAGGCCGAATTTGATCGACATGAATAAGGTGTTCAGACAGACCAACCTGGAGAATTTGGAGCAGGCCTTCAGCATAGCAGAGAGAGACATGGGCGTCACACGCCTGCTGGATCCTGAAGGTAAACAAAGGGAGAAGATCCCTCTAGATTCTCATTCGAAGAATTTTCTTTCATTCTTCTCTTTCATTGATAAGTGGAATAGATCTTTGGGAATCTTAGTGGGTTTTAATGGACTCGTAAATTATTTTCTTTTAGCCTGTGTAACAGTTGTAGTCGTTAAGTGATTTTTCATTACATTTTTGCTGATGTTGAGTTCACTACTGTTCAAAAGGATTGTTTTTTTTTTATATATAAAGAATTTGGTCCCACTTTATATTAGTGGCTTTAAGTACTATGTACTTACATTAAACAATAAGTACAATGTATTATTGTGTTCCTGTTGTATTGTAAAACACTTTTGCTGCTATTGAGGTGTGATACGGGTAAGGTTAGGGACAGGTGGGGTGGTATGGGTCGGTTTAAGGGTAGGTTAAGGTGTGAGGGGAGGGTCAACTGTGTAATTACAAATGTAATTACATAAATTAATTATAGCTGTAATTACATGCTGTAATTTTAAAATATAAGTACAATGTAAAAGCATGTATGTACACAATAAGTCCATTGTATCAAATTATTAATTTCAATGCAAGTAAATAGTACTAAAAGCCACTTAATATAAAGTGGGACCAAGAATTTAATACTTTTATTCAGAAATCATGCTGTAAAATGATCAAAAGTGACAGTAAAGTTGGAGCCGATAGCCTCATGGGCAAGTGCGCCGACATGTAGCGGCGTTGCGCTTCGGGCGATCCGAGTTCGAGTCTTATCCTCATGGACTTTTACCGATCCCATCCCTCCTCTCTCTATCCCACCTCGCTTCCCGTCTAACTACTGTCCTATCCGATAAAAGCCAACCCCCAATGCCATTATAAAAGACATTTATAATGTTCTGCAGGATTTATGTCCCAAATAAATGCTGTTCTTTTAAACTTTCTATTTATCAAAGAACTCTGAAAAAAAAAATGGTTTCCACAAAACTGTTGAGCAGCGCAACAGTCTACAACATTGATAAAAGTAAGAAATGTTTCTTGAGCAGCAAATCAGCATATTAGAATGATTTCTGAATTGTCTGAAATGATTTATGGCTGCTGAAAATTCTGGAATAAATTTCATTTTAAATTATAATAATATGAAAAACAGTTATTTAAAATTGTTGAAATATTTCACAATAATACGGTATGATCAAATAAATGCAGCCATGGTGTGCATAAGAAGCTTCTTTCAAAAACATTTTAAAAAGTTACAGACCCCAAACTTTCGAACGATGGTGTACATGATGCTAGTTTATTTTCCGTTTTTTGCAGATGTGGACGTGCCACACCCAGACGAAAAGTCCATCATCACGTATGTGTCGTCTTTGTATGATGTCATGCCAAGGGTTCCTGACGCTCGTGATGGAGTCCAGGCCAACGTGGGTTTTGAAAATATCTTTTTTGTATATATAATTATAATTAAATATAATATGATGGGCCATTGATATTGTTATCTTTGATCTTTAATATTTTTTATTGACGTACAGGAGTTGGAGTTGCGCTGGCAGGAGTATTACGAGCTGGTGACCATGTTACTCCAGTGGATCAGGCATCACATTATCGTGTTTGAAGAACGCAAGTTCCCTTCCAGCTATGAGGAGATTGAGGTTAGTACCATGCTCCTTAGGTTTAATGATCATATATGTGCATATATATGTGTGTGTAATTATGATTTGGTGCAGTAATTCACTATTCTTTACCAGCTAGAAGTGTTGTAAAATGTATAAAATAGCTATTATGTCATATAACCTTAATCAAGTGTTATTATGTGACCGTAAATGCATGTTTGTACTACAAAAAAGCATCTGAAACCATTTTTAAAGATTGTAAATTATGGTATGAGCATTTTCCCTTTTGTTGTAGGTTCTTTGGCGTCAGTTTCTGAAGTTCAAGGAGTCTGAACTACCAGCCAAGGAGACTGACAAAAATCGCACCAAGCACATTTACAAGTCTTTTGAGGTAAATGAAATCTGCCACAGTAATTGAACTGTTAAACAAGCATGTAGAACAGTCCTTTTGGGCTTTTACATGAGTTTTCTTAACATGTTTTTACCAAGATTTGACTTTATGCGTGGGGTTTGTTTGGCACCAGGGTGCTGTGCAAGCGGGTCAGGTCAAGGTTCCCCCCAGTTACCATCCAATTGATGTGGAGAAGGAATGGGGCCGTCTGCATGTGGCCATTTTGGAACGAGAGAAACTATTGCGTTCAGAGTTTGAACGGTGAGAAAACTGTATAATAACTTATCATGGTTATTCTTTGTTTGGACAATATGCGCAGTTATTCATTCTAATAATCCAGACTATTTACAGGTGTATTTTGCTATAGAACTGTGGTTAAAAATGTATGATGATATTGTGTTTAGATTTTACAGATGTTTCGAAGAGAATCTAAGCAGTTTTAGTTCTCATTCAAGCTACTGTACCTTGCAAGAAAAAAAAATTGACTTGCCCTAACAAGAAACTTCCACTATACTAATTGATAATTGTCAGATTTTGAACAATTATAATTATAAAAATGTGGAAGAACTCAGCTTTACTTTTAAAATCATTCGTTTTTTTTTTTAATTCAATTATTTTTAGTTCTAAAAGCATTAACCTTTCATTGCAGTTAAAGGTATAATTCACCCAAAAATGAAAATTCATTTATTTTAGATCATTTAGATCATGTATTCACCCTCAAGTTGTTCCAAACCTGTATGAATTTCTTTCTTCAACTTAACACAAAAAAAGACATTTTGAAGAATATGGGTAAGCAAACAGTTGATGGGGGTCCATAGTATGGACATAAATATGTGAACTGACATTCTTCAAAATATCTTATTTTGTGTTCATCTTAAGATGAAATTCATACAGGTTTGGAACAATTTGATGGTGAATAAATAAAAAAAAATGTGGAACTATCCCTTTAAGATGATTTTTTTTTCATCAAAATAAATGCATTTTTATTGCTATTTAATAGCATTTAGCTCAAGAAACAGGGCGTCACTTTTAAAAAGATTTGTCACAAGACAGACTCGCTGCTGCTCTGCAGAATGTTTATGAGCCTTATCAGTTACAGTAGCACTTCTTAACATCAATAGCTGATTCTGTGCGACTTCGCTCTGAAAAATCCTCTCTGGATTGGGATTTAGCATTATTAGAATTATTAGCCATGGCCTTTATGAATGACAGCTATGGACTGGAGTACCTGCTCCGTGAGAGGAGGGTGTGAGTGATTTTTTTTTTTTTTTTGATTATTTAAACGTTAAATGCCTGTAAAGTCTGAATATTGTTTTTGCCCTGTCATTTTATTCTTAATATTAACCTTTTAGTAAATGATGTAAAGAGTATTTGTGTGTCTGTTACATGTACAGGCTGGAGCGTCTGCAGAGAATAGTCAGTAAGGTGCAAATGGAGTCAGGTTTGTGTGAGGAACAGCTCAACCAGGTGGAAACAGTGTTACAATCGGTGAGATTGAAAGCCATTTTTATTCCCTTATTAGAATCCAAAGACCCAATACCTTTTGAGCAGGTAAACCTGCATTATTTGTAAGCAAATTGCTTTAATTTAACTTTTATTGCAGGACATACGTCTGCTGGGTGCGGGAAAGCCTATCCAGCACTCGGCTGAGATAGAGCTAGATCTGAACAAGGCTGAAAACATGATCCGATACCTTTTCAATGATGTCCAATTACTTAAAGATGGGCGCCACCTACAGGCAGAACAGATGTACAGGCGGTTAGTATGATATTCAACTGTCATAACCTAAAGAAATACAGTGACAGCTTGCTCAGTACTAGTCTTTAGGTTTGAATGCAATGCTCATCAACCAAAAATATGAAAAAATAATATATTTATTTACATAGGATAAACATACTTTGAAATTTTATTTTTTTTCAAGAAAGTGAACTCCTTTACAAAATTCTTGCTTTAATTTATAAGAAACTGTTTTCTGTAATAATGTTTTAAAAAACATTTTTAATGGTTCATTAATTATAATATCTATATATATACTGTAATAAGATTTATAATAATTAAAATCTTATTGATTCTCATAGCAGCTTTATAACTGTCTTCCCTTGGTTTTTTCAGGGTGTACCGTCTCCATGAGCGTCTGGTAAACCTGCGCAGTGAGTTTAATCTGCGTCTGAAGTCTGGCGTGACGGTGTCGCAGGTGCCCATGACCCAGATGTCCATGTCCCAGATCTCCATGTCCCAGTCCTCCCCCGTCCAAACTATACAGCAGTCTCCGCAGCGCGTAAGACCTGAGCTCGACGAAGTCACTCTCAAGTACATTCAGGACCTCTTGTCCTGGGTGGAGGAGAACCAGAGACGCATTGATGGGGCAGAGTGGGGCGAAGATCTTCCCACTGTGGAGTCACAACTCGGTAGCCATCGTGGCCTTCATCAGTCGATCGAGGAATTCAAATACAAGATTGACCGTGCACGGGCTGATGAGGTAACAAATTGTCTTAAAATTGTCCATTGTACACTTTTGTAGCATTTATTGTGTTCCCTGAGGTCAACTAGATGTCTTGCACCGTAATTTTATGGTTGGGATGTTTTTGCCTCAGTATCTTTAGGATTTTTAAATGTAAAACCTCTGTTCTGATTGGGTCATCTTGTGAAATGAGGAATAATATCATACATGCTTTATTAAACAGTATTAATAATTCAAAGTGTTTATTTATAACTCTGAATATGAGTTTAGAATAACTAAGACTACAATGAAAGTTATATGAACAACCAAAATTATTTTCTTTCCTTTCAGAATCAGTTGACTCCAGTCAGTAAGGGAGCTTATCGAGAATACTTGGGCAAACTGGACCTTCAATATGCCAAACTGCTGGTATGCTCTTAAATCTAGAACTAATACACACTGATCACTTTGTTGAATCTTAATTATGGATTGTAAAATACATTTGTTGCAAACCCAATACAACAAAGCCTGATGAAATAGAATTTATGAATTGGTTGTTGTTCCTCCTCAGAACTCGTCCAAGTCACGGCTGCGGAATCTAGATCAGCTGCACGCTTTTGTCATGGCCGCCACAAAAGAGCTGATGTGGCTGAACGAAAAAGAAGAGGAGGAAGTGAACTATGATTGGAGTGACCGAAACTCCAACATGACCGCCAAAAAGGACAACTATTCTGTAAGGCCACCAACACTTTTGAACATGATTCCACCGGCACTAAATTTATTGTGGAACAGGCACGTGCACACATAGATATCAAAGGGGGCTTGAGCACTTGCCCTTTTTATTCCTAGAGAGAAAGTGCCCTTTTTTTTTATTTTTGAAAAATAATATATATTACTGTTTGTGCACAGCTTCCCTGTCAAACAAATATATTTATTGAATTGTGTATCTAAATATCAGGACAGGAGTTCGAAAGCGCTCTCTCTCTGAAGCCAGAGTAAACGCGTCTGCTCTAGTGAGTCGTTTGGACTTTGAGCCAAGCGGATTTTGTGAGGCGCGTGCGGTTCAAATGAGTTTCGTTATGCTTTTGGTACATAAACATTATCAAACAATTATCAAACTCGATTTTGATATCAAGTATTGACGATATTGACTCGTTTTATCGAGAAAAATTGTATCGCGACAATGAATGAATGAGCATATCAATTTAAGACGTGATATCAATCAATTTTTATGGCCTAAAATTCTTATTATTAAAGTTAATGACTTACATACATCAAGAGTCTTTCCCCCTGAAATTTTGAAATCTAAATTGGTGAATTTAGAAGAAATCTACAGTTGCAATGCAAACAGATGGAGGATATAGGTTTAAAACAAACTCCATCTGATGATGATGATGATACAGTCCTCCATCAAATGGGAAACTAAGTTCATGTCACCATCAGGTGTCTCAAATATATACTTGATTTAAACTAGTAGCATAGAAAACATCCACATTGTGGCTATGCCTATGAATACTAAGGAGACCATGGTTTCTATGTGAACTGATTATTTTGTAGACATCTTTTGAAATTGGAACAATTATGTGAGTTTGAGGAAGATAAAATTATTGAATTTTAAAAAAAAATTAAGTAAGAGTTGTGTTAATATAAATACTAGTATATATACAAGTGTGACCGGGGACAGGTCGAGAAAGAGTTGCACTTTCTAACCTCATGCCCCAAATATAATTCACTAAGACAAAAACACTTTACATACATTTCTCAAATATACCCTGAATTTGAATCCATATCAGACGCACAGAAAATTCCGTCTTTACTGGGAGAAAAGCGCAAATGTGAAATAATTGCTGCAAAATATATTTCCTCATGCCATGAAATGAGGACAACCAGTGGAACCTCAGATGGATAAATAATTGTACAAATTTTCAAATAATAATTATTTTGATTGTTTGATTTTTTTTTTTATTTATTATTTATTTTATTATTATTATTACTGTCACTTGTATTTATCTATATGTTTGTATGTTTCTATTGCTTTGGCAATATTGTGCTATTTTACACATTCATGCCAATAAAGCTAATTTGAATTTGAATTTATATAAACAAAACAAAAAATATATAATTATTAGTTCCCTTTTTTTTTTACTTGAGCCCCTGCCCCTCAAAATGTCTGTGCACGTCCCTGTTGTGGAATCATGTTCATGTTTTAATTGTAGAGAATCCTCTGAAATCATTTAATTGCAATGACAGTGAATGCGGCTGTGCTGTCTTGTAGGGTTTGATGCGAGATCTTGAACACAGAGAGAAGAGAGTGAACAATGTCCAGATGACCGGAGACAAACTGTTGAAAGATGGCCATCCCGCCAGGAAGACTGTGGAGGTGCACAATTTTACATTTAATAATTTGTGTCTTATTCGGGAACACTTAATATCCAGCATTATTACTGATTTAACTGCACTGACACTTTCAGAAAACAAAACTACAACTGAATAATGACACTTGCTTCACACTGGATGAATTTTACACAGTTGTTGAACTAAAGTAAATCGTCACATATTGATATATTAGGAGAGAATTGTTTGAAACTTGAGCTGTTTGTATTCTATTTCTTTGTAGGCTTTCACTGCAGCTCTTCAGACTCAGTGGAGCTGGATCCTTCAGCTGTGCTGTTGCATTGAGACTCATCTGAAAGAAAACACCGCCTACTTCCAGGTACATACAACAAACACTTATGCTTGTAAACAGTGGGTTTGCAGTTCACATCCAAGTAGATTTACTTCATCAGAATGATTTTGATCCCCAAAACTTCTGTTCTACAGTTCTTCTCAGATGTCAAAGAGGCTGAAGAAAGGATGAAGAAGATGGAGGACATGATGAAGAAGAAATATGTGTGTGACCGCTCAATCACGGTTACACGGCTAGAGGATCTGCTACAAGATGCAGTGGTGGGTGTTAATACGTGTGGAATTTTACAACCCTGTATATACCAAAATGTACATGAACTTTTTATTTGACCATTCATTTGCATTGAGATATTCCCTACTGTATAGTGTGTGTAAAACAATATGCCAAAAGAGTGTTATGTTAGAATACATAGTAGTTGAAAATTACACAGATGACCTACTACTTCTGGTGAGAAACGGAATTGCACATTTGATGGACACTTTACTATCCCATTAGGGCTCTGGGAGAGAAGTAGTGAATTGATGCTTTAGGTCACATGATATCAGTACGTCATCACAGGGTTTGTAGTTCACATCCAAGTGACGTTTACTTGAATCAGTTCATACTCTCTATTTCAATTAGTTGATTAACTCTATTCAGCGCTTCGTTTGATTCGTAAAATTATTAACGCATTTGACCCACCCGCCTCGCCCCAGATCTACGTAGTTCATCTTACATTTCATCAAGTTGATTGGTTACAAACATGAACTCACTGCATGATGTTGCATATAGAATGCGATTATAATGACACTAAAATTCAGAATATTAAGGCAAAAAGGCCTCTTTATGAATTTTTGTCTCGTATTTATATCATAAAACATTTAAGCAATATCACACAATTGCTGTTTTTGTCCTGAATGGCATGAGTGCAAATGTGATATGATTTTATACAACAGTTCAATAAATAAGAAGTTAATATTGTATTATATTTTAGACACAGTATTGTCTGCTTTTTCTCAATTTTTACAATGAAAATATTACCTATAAATCCAGAGCAGAACTGTTGTGCATATCTGAGCAACACACACAATGGTGCATCATTTCTGAACGAATCTCCGTTTTAAGCCAATCATTCAGGTGAACCAATGATTCAATGGCACATTTGTAAAAAAAAAAAACAGTTTGAAATACCCTTAAATAGGGCACTATTTGAGGTGACAGACATTTGTAGTGCTGTCCAAAACCATAGTGGACGTTATTAAGTGCAATTCAATCCCACAATGCACAGCAATAGCAAGTTTACAACTGTTTACGCCGAATGAATTCCCGCGTTTCGCCAGAAGATGGTGCCAGCAGCTAAAACAGTTATCTATCCATTTTCAAGTATTCCTTTTTACTTGATTATTACTTTTTTTATTTAAGGTTTATACATGTCCGAATTCACAAACTTATTTTCATTCACTCCCTCAAGTAGATTATATTAGTTTAGTAATCTAGGGAATTGTGAATGAGGGTAAAGGGGGCGATTTCGACATAGCCAAAGAGAGCCATTTACTTGAATCCGTCGTTTAAACCAATCGAATGTATGAATGTCTCAATGACTTGCTCATTTAGACATTGACCGCCTCTTATTTAGAGTATCATCTCATTAAAAAAATTATTTCATATTTTCGTATTAATAAAAAAAACATTACAGTTCACCCAAAAATGAAAATGTTGTCATTGTTTACTCAACCTAATGGCCGTTAAAGCCTAAAAGTATGTGTAATAAATTCTATGTTGAATCAAATAAAAAAAAATGTTGTAATGTCTATTTGATGCTTCTCTCATTTAACACCATAATGACTTAAAATGATCTTTTGTGGGTAATTTTTAAATTTGATCATGTATTTAATTAGATTCAAATTTGATAGACAATTGATAGACTAAAATGGAACAATTACGAAAGTGAAACATACACGGATTCTCCAGAAGAAAACACGATGCATTATGCGTTTTTGTCTTGTGGACTATATAAACATGTTTTTATGTAAGATATAAAGATGTATATAAAGACGTAAGATGTATTATATCTTATTCAAGACTTTACTAAATCAAAAATTTAAATGCGTTTTGTATGATCCTTTTTATTTTATTAGAACAATAAATATTTTGCAGATTCTGCATGGTGTATGTAAACTTTTGATCATGACTGTATATACGTAGATAGATATATACATACATATGCAAATGTGTCTCTCTGGCCATCAGGACGAAAAAGAACAGCTAAATGAATTCAAGACACACCTGGAGGGTCTCAACCGGAGAGCTAAGACCATTATCCAGCTCAAGCCGAGGAACACCGCTCACCCCGTCAAGGGCAAATTACCCATTCAGGCTGTGTGTGACTTCAAACAAATGGAGGTAAAGCAGAGACACTGAGTTTTTGCGTGTGTGTAAATGTGTACATGGGTAATAAAATAAACTGAATTATTTCTTTGGGGCTCAATTAAGAACACACAAACAACTCGTTGAACCGTGTGTTTATTTGCTTTCCTACTGGATATTCTAGTCCCTCTTTCAAAAAATGGTTGAAGAAGTCACATGTGTGATCATGCTCTTGCTCAACATGGGTGTAATTTGTGTGAAGCATGACTATCTTGCTATTACACTTTAGGCTCAGCAATTAGCCTCACCCATCACCGCAATTATATAATCAAATACACAATGCAATCCATTATTACCGTAAACAGTTTAAACTTAATTAACATCCTTCATTTTTTTTGGCCCAGATCACGGTACACAAAGGAGACGAGTGTACCCTGCTGAATAACTCCCAACCGTACAATTGGACAGTGCGAAACTCCAGTGGAAATGAAGCCACAGTACCATCCATCTGTTTCATCGTCCCTCCCACCAACAAAGAAGCTATGGACGTCAGCTCTGGGTAACACAGTACAGCCTAATACTCGTGCACAAGACTAACCTCACTTGACTTCCCTTCCAGAAACTTTTTCCACAAACTTTTATCTCTGTCTTTGACTTCTGGGAGGCGAGATGTGTGGTTTTCTTGTGATGTTGCAATATAAACCAGATCTGTCTGATTAGTCTTTGGCTTTACATCTTATCTTGTGATTTGTTTTTTAACCTCAGTATGGATGCGAGTCTGCAGAAGCTGATGGTTCTTTGGCAAAGGCTGCATGTTGATATGAAGAGCCTGCTGTCCTGGCAGTACTACATGCGGGATATCCTGCTTATCAACTCCTGGAATTTCATCATGGTAACTAGCACTCACACCCCTTTTTAGATACGTTCAAAGACTTGATAAAAAATAGTAGAACCCAGGATGCACAATACAGTATATTAAAAGGCTGGTGCAAATAATTAATAATAAATGAATGGCCTATACAAAAATCAGTCCTTTTAAAAATGCAGTATGAAAAAGGAATACACTACCATTCAAAAGTAAAAAATTACAAGAGTTTTACATTGTTATAAAAACGTTCTATTTCAAATAGCCTACATGCTGTAATTTTTTAACTTAATAATCATCAGAGAGAGGAAAAAAGTGTCATATTTCAACAACAATATTACAATGCACAACAGTTTTTAGCGTTGATAATAAAGAGAAACATTTCTTAGGCACCAAATCAGCATATTAGAATAATTTATGAAGGATAATGTGACACTAGGTAGATCAGGGTAATGGCTGCTGAAATTTTGAATTGTAATGATATTTCACAATATTAATGTTTTTGCTGTGTGTTTGATGTAATAACTGCAGCCTTGTTGAGCATAAGAGTCTTCTGTCAAAAACATAAAAGGTAGTGCATTCATTTTGAGTTTTGTTGAAGCATACATTTAACAGTGTTATTAAAGGATTAGTTCACTTTTGAAAAAAACTTTTGCTGATAATTTACTCACCCCCATGTCATCCAAGATGTCCATGTCTTTCTTTCCTCAGTCGAAAAGAAATTAAGGTTTTTGATGAAAACATTCCAGGATTTTTCTCCATATAATGGACTTACGTGGGAACCAGACGGTCCAAGGTCCAAAAGACAGTTTATAACAGTTTCAGATGCAGCTTCAAATGTCTTTAAACGACACCAGACGATGAATAAGGGTCTTATCATGCGAAACGAAACTTATTCCAAAAATGTAACTTTTCTAAGGACAAATGCTAGCCTTGCTCTATTCTGTGAGGCGCGTTTGTAACGTCACGTAATACGTAATTACGTTAAAAAAAGGTCACGGGCGACGTAGCCGTAAATACAGAGTCAGTGTTTACAAGTTGAACGGATAGGTTGAACGTGCAAACTAACTCAAACGCCGTTTACAAAAACAGGAATTAAAAGGTAAAACAACGATGTCGGACGATTTTGATTCTGTACTTCCGGCTACGTCGCCCGTGACCTTTTGAACGTAATTACGTATTACGTGACGCTACAAACGCGCCTCACAGAATAGAGCAAGTCTAGCATTTGTCCTTAGAAAAGTTACGTTTTTGGAATAAGTTTTGAAATAACCGATCGTTTCGCATGATAAGACCCTTATTCATCGTCTGGTGTCGTTTAAAGACATTTGAAGCTGCATCTGAAACTGTTATAAACTGTCTTTTGGACCTTGGACCGTCTGGTTCCCACGTAAGTCCATTATATGGAGAAAAATCCTGGAATGTTTTCATCAAAAACCTTAATTTCTTTTCGACTGAGGAAAGAAAGACATGGACATCTTGGATGACATGGGGGTGAGTAAATTATCAGCAAAAGTTTTTTCAAAAGTGAACTAATCCTTTAAATCATTATCAGTGTTTTTCTTTAGCAAGCATTATTTGCTACAAAAGTCGAAATGTAAAAACATTTTAACATGCACAATTAAATATTTAGTATCAGCCAATATATGTCTAATATCAATTGCTACGAAAAATATAATATCTAATATTGGCTTATGAGTGATATCAATTGAAAGAACTCATTATTATGTATTATTTAATTGTATGCAGAGGCATGCAAACTGAAAAGTTGCATTATAAACCTTATACATTTACTAATGAATAGTAATTAGGGGACATTGTTTGCTAATTTTGTGCAGTTCAAGACTTTGAGAGTCGAGGAATATCGACTGACCCTGAAGAACCTGGAGCAGCACTATCAGGCCTTCATACGTGACAGTCAGGACTCTGAGCTCTTCGGTGCCGATGATCGCTTGCAAGCTGAGAACAGTTACACCAAAGCCACTCAACACTATGATAACCTGCTACGCTCCGTTGAACAAGGTGTGTGTGACAATAACGTCAGCTGGTTTGTTCAGATGTGTAGCATTCATCACTTTCACAGTTCAATGAAATTGCACACATACAAAGCCATCTTGGCCCCAGGCAGCAACACCCTTGTTTTAAGACTTGCCCCTGAGCACGGCTGAAGGTTTTTCAGCGTGCTTGAAGCAACACAAAGGCATTATGACTTGTAGGAATTTCAAGATGGGGCTAGATAGGGCATTCCATCCAACTCCCATTGTGACTAAAGTCTTATTTTTCAGAACCTGTTCTTATCCAAAAGGACAGCGCACTGGGTAAAGATCCGAGAGTTTTTTGTTTTTTTAACAAACTGTGAATGATTTGTTCATGTGCATTTCGTCCTAATCCACATTGACATGTTTTTCACTGATTTTCTCACTATTTGAAAGTTTGAAATGCAGTTTACTCACTAAAAGTGTGCAAAGTAACTGATTTACTTGATCTTTAAGGCCTGAAACATTCTGAAAGTACTTGAATGCAAATGCTTTTATAGCTACTGTACGTAGGCTCAATTTCATGTGCCTATATATTGTATGGATGCTGCATAATTTAATGCTATTGATGAAGAAACATTCTTAGATGTGTGAGCTTTTGCTTTTGGTCTGCATTTTTACAATATTTAAGATCATTTCTTGAGCTTTTTTAACACAAAGTATGTCAATTGTTTAGGGGAACAGGATGAGTCGGTGTGCAAGAGTTACATCACCCAGATAAAGGACCTGAGATTGAGACTGGAAGGCTGTGAGAACCGCACAGTGAACCGTCTCAGACAGATGGTAGACAAGGAGCCTCTCAAAGCCTGTTTACAGAGAGCCACTGAACAGAAGGTCTGCATTAACACATTGAATCCATCAAGAAATGCCTTCAAATGCACACTCACCTAAAGGATTATTAGGAACACCTGTTCAATTTCTAATTAACGCAATTATCTAATCTCATCTCCTCTACAAATAGGAAAAAGAGGCTACAATTTCCAAGTTCTCACCAAAATTCAAGAGACATTCAGATGGTAGAGTCAGAATTTGGCGTAAACAGAATGAGAACATGGATCCATCATGTCTTGTTACCACTGTGCAGGCTGGTGGTGGTGGTGTAATGGGGGGGGGGGATGTTTTCTTGTCACACTTTAGGCCCCTTAGTGCCAATGGGGCATCGTTTAAATGCCACGGCCTAGCTGAGCATTGGTTCTGACCATGTCCATCCCTTTATGGCCACCATGTACCTATCCTCTGATGGCTACTTCCAGCAGGATAATGCACCATGTCACAAAGCTCGAATCATTTAAAATTGGTTTCTTGAACATGACAATGTGTTCACTGTACTAAAATGGCCCCCACAGTCACTAGATCTGAACCCAATTGAGCATCTTTGCAATGTGGTGGAACAGGAGCTTCGTGCCCTGGATGTGCATCCCACAAATCTCCATCAACTGCAAGATGCTATCCTATCAATATGGGCCAACATTTCTAAAGAATACTTTCTGAACCTTGTTGAATAAATTCCACGTATAAGTAAGGCAGTTCTGAAGGCGAAAGGGGGTCAAACACAGTATTAGTATGGTGTTCCTAATAATCTTTTAGGTGAGTGTATGTATACCACATGAAGAGCTTGTGCATGTCTACTGCACAATTTTTTTTTCTTTTTAATTAATTAAAATCTTAATAAAGTATATATTAGTTAATGACTAAAAACTTGTGTATTCTCATGTCGTCCTACAGAAAGTGCAGACTGAGTTGGAGGGTATAAAGAAAGACCTGGATAAGATGGTGGAGAAGAGTGAAGCAGTGCTGGCCACATCTCAGCAGTCCAGTTCAGCCCCTGTCCTGCGCTCAGAAATAGACATCACCCAGAAAAAGATGGAGCACGCCTACAGTCTTTCTTCTGTGTATCTCGACAAGTGAGTTTCAAGTCCATTTTTTATACATATATACACTACCGTTCAAAAGTGTGGCTTAGGTAAGCTGTTTTAATGTTTTTGAAAGAAGTCTCTTATGCTCACCAAGTCTGCCTTTATTTGATCAACGATATTGCAAAAGCTGTGAAATATTTTTACATCATATATTTAAAATGGCAGTTTTCTATTGTAATTAATTTTAAAATGTAATTTTATTCCTGTGAAGGCAAAGCTGAATTATTCCAGTTTTCAGTGTCACATGACCCTTCTAAAATCATTCTAATATACTTATCATCAATGTTGAAAACAGTTGTGCTGTTTCATTTTTGGGTGGAAACTGATACTTTTTACAGGATTGCTGAGTAGAAGTTCAATAGAAAATAAATAGAAATAGCATTTTTTGTAACTTAATTATTTTTCAGTCACTTTCAATTTAATGCATCTTTGTAGAGTAAAACCCGAAACTTTTTAAAGGAGAACTCCAGTGCAAAATGAACCTTTTGTCTACCTAGTCGACCGTTCTCTGAGATTTGTTTTCATGATAATCGAATGTAAAGAGTTTTATCTCAAAAAACTGTTTAGCGTATACGCTAGTTATATGGGGGCATATAATAAGTAAAGAGAAATCGCTAGTTAATACCACTAACAAGGCTCAAAATAGCCCAACACTAGCACGGTAACATAATGAGGGTCCCTACATACAAAACGAAGCATTGAGAACTTTGTAAGTGTACAGACCGTTTAATAAGAAGATACTTTATAAAGACAGTACACTTTGTGTATACAGACAGGAGCCATCTTGGAAAACAGTCTTGACTAGTCGAACCACGTCCGTGGGGCTATTTTGAGCCTTGTTAGTGGTATTAACTAGCGATTTCTCTTTACTTATTATATACCCCCATATACTAGCGTATATGCTAAACAGTTATTAGAGATAAAACTCTTTGCATTCAATTATCGTGAAAACAAATCTCAGAGAACGGTCGAGTAGGTACCAATGTGTAATTAGACCAAAGGTTCATTTTGCGCTGGAGTTCTGCTTTAACTTATTTAGATTGAAGTATCCAATACATTTTTTTTTTTTTTTTGCTTTTCCACACTTAATTATCTTTTTGTCCTTCCCCATATAAAATTATGCTGAATCAAATAATTTTTCTCCATAAAGGCTGAAGACCATTGACATGGTAATCCGCAGCACACAAGGAGCAGAAGACATTCTCAACAAATATGAGAACCAGTTGCGGGATGTGAACAAAGTTCCTGTTAATGAGAAAGAGATTGAGGCCACTCAAACACAGCTCCAGGTGCATTATCTCTCGCACAATAACCCAATTATGAAATCGTGAAATTGTTACCAGTATAAGCTCAAATCATACATGACCTCACAAACATGTTCATTCCTTCTTTTTTGACCCTAGAAACTGCACTCAGAAGCGGAGGGAAAGCAAGCTACGTTTGACCGCCTGGAAGAGGAGCTTCAGAGGGCTACCACGGTGACCGACCGAATGTCTCAGCTGCACAGTGAACGTGACATAGAGCTGGAGCACTACAGGCAGCTGGTGGGCAACCTGAAGGACCGCTGGCAGGCCGTGTTTGCTCAGATTGAGCTGAGGCAGCGAGAACTTGACCTTCTCAGCAGGCAGATGCAGGCGTACAGACAGAGCTGGGACTGGCTCATCCGCTGGATAGCAGATGCCAAGCAGAGGCAAGACAAGCTCCATGCTTTGCCCATCGACAGCAAAGCCCTTCAAGAGCAGCTGTCCCAGGAGAAGGTATCTATCCATCCATCCATCTATCGGTCACTCTGAAATGCAGGGTTTTCGTTAATTCTCTGTTCTCATCATATTTTGCTTGAAAATCATGTTAATAATCTTTTTTATTTACGTCATGTCCATTATTTGTGCAGAAACTGCTTGAGGAGATTGAGAAGAACAAGGACAAGGTGGATGACTGCCAGAAATATGCTAAAGCATACATTGATGCCATAAAGGTGTGTATGAATTCTGCCGCATATATATATTTTTCTCAAATCTAAATGATTTATGAGTAGCACTCTGACTGAATGTTCTCATCCAGGATTATGAGCTCCAGCTGGTGACTTATAAAGCTCATGTGGAGCCCATAGCTTCCCCTCTGAAGAAGACCAAAATGGAGTCTGCATCTGACGACATCATTCAAGAGGTACTCTAGATATCTGATATCCACTTATATTTGGCTCTTAATCTGCTATATGCATTCATTTACATACTGTATGTATAACTTCTACTTGGGACATGCTTCTTTGACATGCCAAGTAACTTCAAAATATCTTTCAGTATGTGACTCTGAGAACACGCTACAGTGAGCTGATGACTCTTTCGACCCAGTATATTAAATTCATCATTGAGACACAGCGCCGCCTAGAGGATGAGGTGGTAAGTATTAAAACCTAAAGTCTTAATATTCTAGCACTAACTTTAACACATTAACTTGATCCTTTTTGTAGTTTCATTTGTGAATGTATGGACACATGAAATATATATGTATTTCACAAACCATATGAGACACAGTTACATTTTTATCTTAAGTTAAAGGGATACTCCACTTTTTTTGGAAATAGGCTCATTTTACAACTCCCACAGAGTTAAACAGTTGGGTCTTACCGTTTTCGAATCCATTCAGACGATTTTCTGATATTTAGAAAAATATCAGTAACCAGACAGTTTCTGGTCTCATTGACTTCCATAGTATATTTTTTTCCTACTATGGAAGTCAATGAGACCAGAAACCACTTGGTTACTGATAATTTTCTAAATATCAGAAAATCAGCTGAATGGATTCGTAAACGGTAAAACTTAATGTTTAACTCTGTGGGAGTTGTAAAATGAGCCTATTTCCAAAAAAAGTGGAGTATCCCTTTAAGTTGAAAAACATGCTATTGTTGGCCGTGTGCTAGAGGATAAAGTTCTGGAAATCAAAAATGTAACAGATTGAGCAGCTCACCTAGGCCTTCAGTAATATAAATGCTAGTGGTGCAGCACATTCCATTTCTTCACAATGTATGTCTTTCATTATGTGTTTACTACTATGGAGGTGTTTTGATATCTCTTCCATTATAGTGAGCTCTCAGTTAGTATAGGGACCCTTCAGCCTGAAGCAAACTTAAAATATGCTCTTATCCTAAAAATAAAAGTTAGTGCATGGTCCAATGTACCAGTGATGCCACATGGTTTCGCTAGTTTAATTTCCTGGTTGGATTCTGTCTGCTGCTTAGCCGCATTCTTACCCATCATTCCTTTGTGCCCTATTTGTTGATTTTCCCTCTGAGTTTGCTTCAGCCTGACTGTCAGACCTTCTTCTGTAGCTGTTTTCTGCTCAATTTTGGTTTCCATTTTCCTTTCTAACCTTTATTTTCTTGTCTGCTTCTCTAAACTGCTTGCCAGTGCTTTATCATGATGAATGTTTGTCATGTTTGGGCGCTAAAGAGGTAAATTGTCCACAAAAATGCATGTTCATCCTTTTCCAGTCCCTTGTTAATTACATTAGCATTTTTGCCATGATCAAGAAATATAAACAAATGCATTAATATATATTATTGTTGTATTTGTCAAAATCTACACTTTGGCATTCATCAGACCTGTTTTTCTTCTTTTTCCCCCTTATGGTCTAGCATTGTTTAAACTTTATTTAATAAGTCTTATTCTTTCTTTGCTGCATCACTACGCTGTTCTTTTGTAGGCATGATAATTCTATGAATATACATTTTCAAATATTCTTTCTTCATTGACCCTTTATAATAATAATTTGTCATTTATTAAAAAGGTTACATTTCCATATTTTGTTCAAAATGGAATCCAAAACACATTTTTTACTCCAATGTAAAATATATTAAAAACCTAAAATCTTCAGTCTTCAAAATGACAGGGCAGAGTTTTAAAGTTTTTATTCATTTAAAAAATGTATCCAGTGATAACACCTCATTAGCATGAAACCATTCGATATTCCAGCTGTAGTGGTGTTTTGTGAAGTGATTGTGTCTCATTTTGTGTACCATACATTGTGCCTTTATATAATCCTTAATAAAGTAACTACATATGTTGTTTTTTCTGTTTAGTATAACACTTTGTCCATGTACTTGCATTTGCATGTACGTACATGCACTTATAATATCTAACACTTAAATATTTAACTTTGTTTCTATTTCCCCTACTATTTACCCTCACTAATACAGAAAGCTGCCGAAAAACTTAAAGAAGAAGATAGAAAAAAGTTGGCCGAGATGCAGGCCGAGCTAGAAAAGCAAAGGCAGTTAGCTGAATCTCACTCAAAGGCTATTGCTAAAGCAGAACAAGAGGCAAATGAGCTGAAGACGAAGATGAAAGATGAAGTCAGCAAACGACAGGACGTTGCGGTCGATGCTGAGAAACAGAAGCACAATATCCAACGAGAGCTCCAGGAGCTCAAAAGCCTTTCCGAGCAGGAAATCAAAGCTAAGACTCAACAGGTAGAGGAAGCCCTCCAGAGCCGGACCAGAATTGAAGAAGAAATCCATATAATCCGACTCCAGCTAGAGACGACGATGAAACAAAAAAACACTGCTCAAACAGAGCTTCAACAGCTCAGGGAAAAAGCTGCAGATGCCGAAAAACTTCGAAAGGCAGCGCAGGATGAGGCAGAGAAGCTTCGGAAGCAAGTTGCCGAAGAGACTCAGAAGAAACGCCAGGCAGAAGAAGAGCTCAAACTGAAATCAGATGCAGAAAAGGAGGCTGCCAAAGAGAAGAAGAGGGCCCTTGAGGATCTAGAGAAGTTCAAGCTTCAGGCTGAGGAAGCTGAGAGGCACATGAAGCAAGCAGAGCTGGAAAAGCAAAGGCAGATTCAAGTGGTAGAGGAAGTGGCAAAGAAGACTGCAGCCACGCAGCTTGAGAGTAAACAGATATCATTGACAGCAAAACTGGAAGAATCACTCAAACATGAGCAGGTGATGGTCATTCAACTGCAGGAGGAGGCAGAACATCTCAAAAAGCAGCAAGCTGAAGCAGATAAGGCAAGAGAGCGGGCAGAGAAGGAGCTCGAAACATGGAGACAGAAGGCTAATGAAGCTCTCCGACTCCGGCTCCAGGCTGAAGAAGAGGCCAATAAGAAAACTGCAGCTCAGGAGGAAGCGGAGAAACAGAAGGAGGAAGCCAAACGGGAGGCAAAGAAGAGAGGAAAAGCTGAGGAGGCTGCCCTTAAACAGAAAGAGATTGCCGAAAAGGAACTGGAGAACCAAATGAAGATGGCTGAAGAAACAGCTAAACAGAAGCTTGCAGCAGAGCAAGAGCTTATTCGATTGAGAGCAGATTTTGAGCATGCTGAACAACAGAGAATTGTCTTGGATGATGAGCTCCAGCGTCTCAAAAATGATGTCAATGCCGCTGTTGAACAGAAGAAGGAGCTTGAGGAGGAGCTGGTCAAAGTTAGGAAGGAGATGGAAGTTCTACTACAGGTAAAGTCCAAAGCTGAGAAAGAGTCTTTGTCAAACACTGAAAAGAGCAAACAACTACTTGAATCTGAGGCTGCCAAGATGAGGGAACTGGCTGAGGAGGCAACTAAACTGAGGTCAGTTGCAGAAGAAGCAAAGAAACAGAGGCAAATTGCAGAAGAAGAAGCTGCCCGTCAGAGAGCAGAGGCTGAGAAGATCCTCAAAGAAAAGTTAGCAGCTATCAACGAGGCAACCCGTCTAAAAACTGAGGCTGAGATCGCTTTGAAAGAGAAGGAGGCTGAAAATGACCGCTTGAAGAGAAAAGCCGAAGACGAGGCCTACCAGAGGAAAGTTCTTGAAGATCAAGCGGCTCAGCACAAGCAAGCAATTGCAGAAAAGATCGATCAGCTCAAGAAGTCTTCAGACACCGAGCTCGACAGGCAAAAGAAAATCGTAGAAGAAACCTTGAAGCAGAGGAAAGTGGTGGAGGAGGAAATCCACATTCTCAAGCTCAATTTCGAAAAGGCTTCAACTGGCAAACAGGACCTTGAACTTGAGCTCAACAAACTCAAGGGCATCTCAGAGGAGACGCAGAAGAGCAAAGCGAAGGCTGAGGAAGAAGCAGAGAAATTCCGAAAACTTGCTTTGGAAGAGGAGAAAAAAAGGAAAGAGGCAGAGGCCAAGGTGAAAAAAATCCAAGCTGCAGAAGAAGAGGCAGCAAGACAACACAAAGCTGCTCAAGAGGAGGTTGAGCGTCTCATAAAGAAAGCAGAAGATGCCAAAAAGCAGAAAGAGATTGCGGAGAAAGAAGCCGAGAGACAGATCATTTTAGTCAAAGAGGCTGCACAGAAGTGCTCTGCTGCTGAACAGAAAGCCCAAAATGTTCTTCTCCAGCAAAACAAAGACAGCATGGCGCAAGATAATCTCAAGGAAGAGTTCGAAAAAGCAAAGAAACTGGCACAAGATGCAGAAAAGGCTAAAGACAAGGTTGAGAAAGAGGCTGCCTTGTTGCAGAAGAAAGCAGAGGAAGCTGAACGTCAAAAGCAGGCAGCTGAGGCTGAAGCTGCCAAACAGGCCAAAGCCCAGGAAGATGCTGAAAAACTGAGGAAGGAAGCTGAAAAGGAAGCTTCCCGGCGGGCTGAGGCAGAGGCTGCTGCTTTAAAACAAAAACAAGAGGCTGATGCTGAAATGGCCAAGTACAAAAAGCTTGCGGAAAAGACCCTGAAGCAGAAGTCTTCGGTTGAGGAGGAGTTGGTGAAGGTTAAATTGCAACTTGATGAGACAGACAAACAGAAATCTATCCTTGATGATGAACTCAAGCGACTCAAACAAGAGGTCAGTGATGCCATCAATCAGAAGGCTCAAGTTGAGGATGAGCTCTCTAAAGTTAAGATTCAGATGGAGGACTTACTAAAAATGAAACTTAAAATTGAAAAGGAAAACCAAAAGCTTATGAAAAAAGATAAGGACAACACAAAGAAACTCCTTGAGGAAGAGGCTGAGAACATGAAAAAACTGGCCGAGGATGCGGCACGGCTTAACATTGAGGCTCAAGAAGCTGCAAGATTACGACAAATTGCAGAGTCAGATCTTGCCAAACAGAGGGAACTGGCTGATAAGATGTTGGAAGAGAAAAAGCAGGCCCTTCTTGAGGCGACAAAACTGAAGGCTGAAGCCGAAAAGCTCCAGAAACAAAAAGATCAGGCACAGGTTGAGGCTCAAAAGCTGTTAGAGGCCAAAAAGGAGATGCAGCAGCGTCTGGAGCAGGAGACGGAAGGTTTCCAGAAATCTTTAGAGGCTGAACGCAAGCGGCAATTAGAGATTACCGCAGAGGCTGAGAAACTAAAGATCAAGGTGATGCAGCTAAGTGATGCTCAGTCAAAAGCAGAGGAGGAAGCCAAACAATTCAAGAAACAAGCTGATGATATCAAAAGCCGTCTACTTGACACTGAAAAACAGACTTCCGAGAAATACACTGTTGTTGAGAAACTGGAAGCACAGAGACTGCAGAGCAAAAAAGAGGCCGATGATCTGCACAAAGCAATTGCAGAGCTTGAGAAAGAAAAGGAGAAATTGAAAAAAGAGGCTGCTGACTTACAAAAACAATCAAAAGAGGTATTGTGTTATATGTTGTAGTACTGCAGTCTAGTGTTTCATATATTAGCCTTAAACCCCTTAATCAACAATTAACAGTTTTATTCAATTTCTGAACCTTTGTTCATGTACATTGCATGTTACCAGTCTCAGTGATAACAAAGCCTGCAATTGTCATGAACAAAGTTGTTCTGGTCCCCTTTAACACTAGTGTCCATGATGTATTTATTTAGTTTGCAATTAGGTTGTGCAGCCTATTTGCACATTGTTGATATCACTATTTATTTTAAAGGGATACTCCACTTATTTTGGAAATAGGCACATTTTACAACTCCCTCGGAGTTAAACAGTCGAGTTTTACCGTTTTCGAATCCATTCAGACGATTTTCTGATTTTTAGAAGAATATCAGTAACCAGACAGTTTCTGGTCTCATTGACTTCCATAGTATATATTTTTTCCTACTATGGAAGACAATGAGACCAGAAACTGTCTGGTTACTGATATTCTTCTAAAAATCAGAAAATCGTCTGAATGGATTCGAAAATGGTAAAACCCAACTGTTTAACACTGGGGGAGTTGTAAAATGAGCTTATTTCCAAAAAAAAGGTGAGCATCCCTTTAAAATAGTTTCTAATGTCTGTAACTTATGTAACCTAAATTGTCCATATTTACCTATTAATTCAACAATGAACTAAATATATATTCATCTGTTAGATTTTAGTGTACATTTAATTAATATCACTTTTACCATGCTGTGAAGTTGTCATATTTACATAATGTATTGTATTCTTTTGATTCTGTGATTACAGTGAAATTTGCTATCATTTACTCGCTTCTTCTGTGGAACTCAAACAAAGATAATATGAAGAATATGTTGGGGTTTTTTTTCTATGCAACGAAAGTCAATGGGCTCCAATATTATTTTCACCCCCTTCATTCATTCTATGGAAATAAACAGTTAAAACATTCTAGGTTAGGTTAGGTTTGTGATTACATGAGTCCTAGTAAATGATGACAGAGTTTTTATTTGTGGGTAAAATATAACTTTAAAAGAGTACTTAATTGTCATTTCGATTATCTTTATTACCACAGAATCGAATAGACACAATACACTATATAAATGTGACATCACAGCATACAACAGATATCAATTAAAAAGTACACTGACAGGTGTAAGTTATGATGTAATTATATGAGAACGAATTATATAAGAAGTATATAATTGCATCTTAAAATGCTAAATTCTATAAATATATTGTATTGAGTTTTTGAGTTATATTTTTCCTTATACCGTGATTTCCATGCCATGCATTTAATTAATGATTGTTTTATGCTGTTTTATCACAGATGGCCAATGTACAGCAAGAACAGTTACAGCAGGAAAAGACTATCCTCCAGCAGACTTTCTTTGCAGAAAAAGAGACACTGCTGAAGAAGGAGAAAGCCATTGAAGCAGAGAAAAAGAAGCTGGAGAAGCAATTTGAAGATGAAGTAAAGAAGGCTGAAGCACTTAAAGATGAACAGGAGCGTCAGAAAAGGCAATTGGAGGAGGAGAGGAAGAAACTTCAGTCTGCCATGGATGCTGCCATCAAAAAGCAAAAGGACGCTGAGGAAGAGATGAATGCCAAGCAAAAAGAAATGAAAAAGCTTGAAAAGAAAAGAATTGAACAAGAGAAGCTTCTGGCAGAGGAAAACAAGAACTTGCGAGAAAAACTCCAGCTGCTTCAGAGTTCACAAAAGCCATCCCACACCAAGGAGATTCAAACTGACAAAGTCCCTGAAAAAGAGTTAGTTGCAATGACAATGGTAGAAACATCCAAGAAGGTCGTAAATGGCTCTACAGAAGTGGATGGTGTGAAAAAAGATGTAGCCTTGGCTTTTGATGGAATCAGAGAGAAGGTGCCTGCAAACAGACTTTATGAGATTGGTGTGCTCAGCAAAAAAGAATTTGACAAGCTTAAGAAAGGCAAAACAACTGTGGATGAGCTTTCAAAGAATGACAAGGTCAAGATGTGCCTAAAAGGTAGAGATTGCATAGGTGGAGTAATAGTTGATCCCAACCAGAAAATGAGCATCTATCAAGCTTTGAAGGACAAGAAGATTACACAAAGCATGGCTTTGATGCTTCTTGAAGCCCAAGCTTCATCTGGTTACATTATTGACCCCATTAAGAACAAAAGATTATCTGTAAGCGAAGCTGTGAAGGATACCCTGATTGGACCTGAGCTGCACACCAAGTTGTTATCGGCCGAAAGGGCCGCCACAGGATTCAAAGATCCATTCACTGGAGATACAATCTCACTGTTTGAAGCAATGAAAAAAGGTTTGATTGCAGAGGACCAGGCCACAAAACTTCTTGATTGTCAATATGCAACTGGTGGGATAGTTGATCCTGTCAATAGCCACCGTGTAACAGTCCAATTGGCTTGCACACAAGGTCAACTTGATGATGATCTAAGCAAAATCCTGTCCAGCCGTCCTGCTGACAAAAAAACATTCATTGATCCCAACACTCAGGATTGCCTCACTTATTGTGAGTTACTGGAACGATGCAAACCAGATCCTGAGACAGGCATCCCATTACTGCCAATCACAGAACATGCAGCCCAAATTGAAAAAACTTATACTGATGAGGAAACTAAAGATGTATTTAGTAAGGCAAACCTAACTGTTCCATTTGGAAGATTCAAAGGAAAGACTGTCACCATCTGGGAGATCATAAACTCTGAGTACTTCACTGAAGATCAAAGAAAGGATCTTATCCGTCAATACAAGACAGGCAAAATTACAGTTGAAAAAATTATTAGAATTGTAATAACTGTTGTAGAGGACAAGGAAAGCAAGAAGGAACCTGCATTTGATGGTTTGAGATCATCAGTGCCAGCTTCTGAACTTCTGGAAGCAAAGGTTATTAATAAAGATTTGTTCAACAAATTGCACAATGGAAAAGCTACTCTTAAAGAGGTCTCTGAGCTTGAACCTGTCAAGAAAGCCCTAAAGGGGGCACACTCTATTGCTGGAGTGCAGATTGACTCAACTTCTGAAAAGATGTCTTTCTACGAAGCCATGAAGAAGGGCTTGCTCGGAACAGAGCCTGCGCTAAACCTTCTAGAGGCCCAGGCTGGAACAGGCTTCATAATCGATCCTGTGAAAAATCAAAAGCTCACTGTTGATGAAGCAGTCAAAAGTGGCGTTGTTGGTCCAGAGCTGCATGAGAAATTGTTGTCTGCAGAAAGAGCTGTTTGTGGTTACAAAGATCCATATACTGGAAAAACTGTATCCCTGTTTGAAGCAATGCAAAAAGATCTCATTAAGAAAGACCAAGGTGTCCGTCTGCTGGAAGCTCAACTTGCAACTGGAGGAATTATTGATCCTGAGAAAAGTTACCGCATCACTCCAGATATTGCATATAAACGTGGATACCTAAATGAGAAGATAAATGAAGACTTAAACAGCCCATCAGTCTCCAGTACAGTATTCATTGACCCAAACACACAAGAAAATGTCACTTATGCTGAACTGCTGAAAAGATGCATCATTGATAAACAGACTGGTTTCCCATTGCTTCCACTATCTGAAAAGGCAGTCAAGTCAAAAGAAATAGAACCCGTTTCTGATGCGCAAACTAAAGAGACCTTGAGCCATGCTACAGTTGAGTTGCACAGTGGAGTTTTTAAAGGAAGAATAGTCACCATTTGGGAGATTATCAACTCTGAATATTTCACAGAGGAACAAAGGATTGAATTTATCCGGCAATATAGATCAGGAATTATCACAATTGAAAAACTGATCAAGATTGTGATCACTACAGTGGATGAAAAAGAAATGAAGAGACAGGGCGAATTTGATGGTTTTAGAGGACCTGTCACGGCCAGTTCCTTGCTTGAATCTAAAATCATTGACAAAGACACCTATGACAAAATCCAACAAGGAAAAAAGAAACCTGCAGAAGTTAGTGACTCCATCAAACGCTACTTGCAAGGTTCTGATTGCATTACTGGGGTATTTTTGGAAAAAACTAAGGAAAAACTGAGCATTTACCAAGCAATGAAGCAGAAACTTCTGACATCAAACACAGGTGCTTCCCTGCTGGAAGCTCAGGCAGCTACTGGCTACATAGTTGATCCTATCAGGAATGAGAAGTTTACAGTGGATGATGCTGTTAAGACTGGCATTGTTGGTCCAGAGCTTCATGAAAAACTGCTTTCAGCAGAGAAAGCTGTTACTGGTTACAAAGATCCATACACTGGTAATAAGATCTCTCTTTTTCAAGCAATGCAAAAACAGCTTGTTCTAAGAGAACATGCTATACCTCTTCTAGATGCTCAGGAGGCCACTGGAGGTATAATTGATCCAGTAAATAACCATCGACTTCCTAGTGATATAGCCATTCAGCGTGGCTACTTCAGCAAGCAATTGGCCAAATCTTTTAAAGACCCCACAGATGATATCAAAGGTTTCACTGACCCAAACAAAAATGAGAATATCACATACAAACAACTGAAAGAGAGATGCATGGCCGATCCAGAATTTGGAATTGCCTTGTTACCGCTTTCTAAAGCACAGACTGCAGAGCAAGCTGAAAAATCATATGCTTACACTGAGGAACAAGCACAGACAGACTTAGCTAATACCCAAATAGACATACCACATGAAAGTTTTGCTGGCAAACAAGTGAACTTATGGGAAGTCATGAAATCAGATTTGCTTCCAGAAGAGGAAAAACAAAGGCTCCTTGAACAGTATCGCTCAGGCAAAATCACAAAAGAGAGAATGATCATTATTATAATTGAAATCATTGAACAAAAAGAGATCATCAAGACTGAGCAGAGTATGTCATGTGATGTAATCAGACGCCGGGTTACTATTGATGAACTTTACAGAGCTCGTATTATAGACCTTGAAACGTACAATCTGCTCAAACAAGGCAAGAAAACAATCCGGGAAGTTATGGAGATGGACAGCGTGAAACACTATCTATTTGGAACCGGCAGCATTGCTGGAGTACTCTCAGATAACTACGCTAAGGTTAGCATCTACCAAGCCATGAAGAGAGGTCTCATTAAACCTGGCATTGCCATTGATCTGTTAGAGGCACAAGCAGCGACAGGATTCATCATTGACCCTGTGAAGGATGAATTGTTAACCGTTGATGAGGCCGTCCGGAAGGGTCTTGTTGGCCCAGAGATCCATGACAAACTCTTGTCTGCTGAGAGAGCAGTCACAGGTTATAAGGATCCATACAGCGGGAAGGTTATTTCTCTATTCCAAGCCATGAAAAAGGACCTTGTTACTGAGGATTATGCCATGAAGCTTTTGGAGGCCCAGGTAGCAACAGGTGGCCTCATGGATCCAGAGTACTACTTCCACCTCCCAATTGATGTCGCCATGCAACGTGGTTACATGAACAAAGAAACCAGTGAGAGGATATCTGATCCAAGTGGAGATGTCAAAGAGTTCATAGATCCAACAACAGATGAAAAGCTGTCTTATGCCCTACTTCTCAAAAGATGCAAGATTGATAAAGAGAGTGGCTTACGATTATTGTCTCTGGCGGACAAGAGACTTCTATTTAAGGGCCTTAGAAAACAAATCACTCCAGAGGAGTTGTTGCGCTCTCAAATTATTGATCAAAAGACCTACACAGGCCTCATGGAGGGTACCATTTCTGTTGAGGACCTCAGTAAAGACCTAAAGAAATATCTTGAAGGCATCAGCTCTATTGCAGGCGTGTTTGTTGAGGCTACAAAAGATCGACTTTCAGTCTACCAAGCCATGAAGAAGAACATGATCAGACCAGGCACTGCCTTTGAACTTCTGGAGGCTCAAGCAGCTACTGGGTATGTGATTGATCCAATTAAAAATCTCAAAATGAATGTCCTTGAAGCTGTGAAAATGGGAGTCGTAGGACCAGAATTTAAAGACAAGCTTATCTCGGCTGAACGAGCTGTGACTGGCTACAAAGATCCATACTCTGGCAAGGTGATCTCCCTGTTCCAGGCTATGAAGAAAGGTCTTATTCTGAAAGACCATGGTATTCGTCTGCTCGAGGCTCAAATAGCCACCGGTGGAATCATTGATCCTGAAGAGAGTCATCGACTTCCTGTTGAAATGGCATACAAGCGGGGTCTATTTGATGAGGAGATGAATGAAATTCTCACCGATCCCTCTGATGACACTAAGGGGTTCTTTGATCCAAACACAGAGGAGAATTTAACTTACCTCCAGCTGATGGAACGCTGTATAACAGACCCTGAAACTGGACTTTCTCTATTGCTGATGAAAGAAAAGAAACGGGAAAGAAAGACGTCCTCTAAGTCCTCAGTCCGCAAACGTAGAGTTGTTATCGTAGATCCAGAAACAGGAAAAGAGATGTCTGTGTATGAGGCATACCGCAAAGGACTCATCGACCATCAAACATATATTGAACTTGCAGAGCAAGAGTGTGAATGGGAAGAAATTACCACCTCATCATCAGATGGTGTTGTCAAGTCTATGATCATTGACAGAAGGTCTGGGCGGCAGTATGACATTGATGATGCAATCTCCAAGGGCCTCATTGACCAGTCTGCTTTGGACCAGTACCGTGCTGGTACCCTTTCTATCACTGAATTTGCTGACATGCTCTCTGGCAATATGAGTGGCTTTAGATCACGTTCATCTTCCTTTGGGTCCAACTCATCCTATCCCATGAGTCCAATTCCCTCCATAAAGACACCAGCTACAACCTGGACTGATCCATCTGAGGAAACTGGACCAGTGGCTGGAATCTTAGATACAGATACTTTAGAAAAGGTGTCAGTTACGGAGGCTATGCATCGGAATCTAGTTGACAACATCACTGGTCAAAGACTACTAGAAGCACAAGCGTGCACAGGGGGAATTATTGACCCAAACACTGGAGAGAAATTCTCTGTTGCTGATGCTATGAACAAAGGGCTGGTGGACAAGATCATGGTTGATCGTATCAACCTAGCACAGAAAGCTTTTCAGGGATTTGAAGATCCAAGAACCAAAACCAAAATGTCAGCCTCTCAAGCCTTAAAGAAGGGTTGGCTCTACTACGAAGCTGGCCAACGTTTCCTTGAAGTCCAGTACCTAACCGGCGGTTTGATTGAACCAGATATTACAGGAAGAGTATCACTGGATGATGCTGTTAAGAAGGGCAATCTAGATGCGCGCACTGCACAGAAACTAAGAGATGTCAGTGGATATTCCAAATACCTCACCTGCCCCAAAACAAAACTCAAGATCTCATACAAGGACGCCATGGACAGAAGTATGATAGAGGAAGGATCTGGCCTGAGGTTGCTTGAAGCATCCTCACAGTCCAGTAAAGGTCTTTACAGCCCATACAGCATCAGTGGCTCTGGATCAACTTCAGGGTCTAGGTCTGGATCCAGAACTGGTTCAAGATCCGGCTCTAGAAGGGGAAGTTTTGATGCCACAGGCTCAGGTTTCTCCATGGGTTTTTCTTCATCCTACAGCCCCACTAGCTATGGCCGCCGTTATGATTCAGGGGCACATGGTGGACTGCAGATGGATGAGCTAAAGCAAGCCCTTACAGCTTTAGCATCAGGCAGGAACTGTTGCTATGATGAAAAGAGAATATTCACATCATCCCAAACTCAATCCTCTTTAGTTGCTTAATTTATGTACACAAAAAGGACATTTATCCTGCTCTGCATGATATTGCTAATGGGCTTTTTTTACTGGTAATATGGGAGTAATATTGCTATATAATACTGGCTTTAATATTTTATTTCATATATACATATGTTTGTCACTTGTTTTTTTTTCTCTCTCTTAATTTTCACATCATATACAGTTTTTTTCTGCACAACATTCATGGCAGAATCATACTCACATTTTTTTATATTCAATCCTTTCAATTTTTAGCAGTGTTAAATACTTATAGCCTCTCTTTTTGTATTGTTTTTTTTTTTCATGTACCTTGTACATTGGCACATGAATTATACTGAGAAGTTTCAAGAATGTATAGATTTCTCGGAGAGGATATGGTAATGCTGCATATGAGATGTAAAAGTTATTTGTTATATATTTTTGTGTAAAGATCCCAATGGTATCTGTACACCACTGAATAGTTGAAGCCAGCATGGTTAAAAAAAAAAGGATTGGAGAGGAGGGAACGGGAGTGGGGGGATGGGGACTGTTGACTATCTGCAGAGTGGAATAAAGTCCATTTGGACACTCGTGATTGGGAGCATGTCAATAAACAAAACATATTGGCAGCACTGCCATGGACATTGTTCTGTAGAAACTCATTCTCTTCTCATTATTGAAAACTAGAAAACAATAAACTTATTAGATAAAGTGAAATGGATTTACCCAACCTACAGTCATCTTAAAAACAGGGCATCATTACATTTACCACAAATCACTAACGATGACAGAGAAAATTCTTTAATTTTCCTGATAAGTAACTCACATCCCAACTCCCCACAATCGTCTCATTTAATGGGGACCTCACTTTCGCCTTAACCTTGTGACGTCTGCATTAACTTTCTTGTAAATGTAATGTGCACCCTCAATAGGCTTGAAAAAAGACTAAATACGATAATGATTCAATGGAGATTATATTATTATACATCTGTAATGTTTATTGTAGCATACAATTGTTATATTGTCTTGGGACACTCCCTTCTATGTTACAATGTCAGTTAAAATATTAACTAACCTGGCCAATAATGTCAATTCAAAGACCTGCTTTTGTTTTTTGCAGAAAAGCTCATGCACTGTGTAATTAACAAATTAAATATTCTTAATATTATATACGATAATGATATAAATGATGGTCTCCTTTTTCTTATAAGTAGATGTGTCTTTCAGAGAGGGCACTATGTCTACAGAATTGCATAGTTATACTGACACCTGACAACAGACTTTACAGAAACCGAGGTATTCATGTTTAACTTGAAGACTGGTTAATGATTTTTGTCAAATGCCATAAAATACTTAAGATTTTTAGAATATAATAAAGCAATTATTAGAGAAAAAAACCTGGAACCTTGAATATGCCCAGTCTACCTCTTCTTTAAATTCATGTCCTCATTTGTTATAGAAACTAGCTTTGTTTTGAATCATCGAAAAGCTCCATATCTTGCACTGCCACTTAAGCTCCACTTGTGTGTTTAGAGGATCGCTCCTTTCAAAAGAATCACATTGTGATCTTTCAACCAACATACATGTTCCACTACCTTTGTTTATGCTCCGTATAAGAATTATTAGATTTGTTTGGTTGAGTAGAATTAAAACGCTAATGGTCTAGTCAGCTGATATTCACCCATATTGTCAACTATTAACACTAAATCTGTTTTTAGTGTAGAAACGTTGAAATGCTAATCAGTTTCGGCATAATAATATCTTGTGTGTTGGTACAATGATGTAGGCCTATTGACAAGCATTACAAATAATTTAATATTGATCTCTGACCTGCTTGTAGATGTGTACAAAAACAAGGACTCTGTAGGTTAACAAATTATGACATATCGGAAACTAAGAAAGACTGAATTTCAAAGGCTCAAAGAAAATCTGTTTCAGTCTCTCCAATGCAATGTTTTGTTTAGTGTTTTTTAGATGTTTGGTTCACTGAACTGTAAATCATAATACTTCAGTTTTAGTTATATTTTCCTACATTATATCTTTTGCTTTTTATGTTCTACTAATAACATTAAAATGATGCAATATGATCAGTTATACTCGGCAAAACCCTTTTAAAGGAAGCTTTTTGAGGCACTAAAAGGTATATTTGAAACTGTTCTGATATTAAATGCATGATATGAGTATGACATGTTAATATTCTAATGTAAATAAACATTAAATATCTGCTGTACAATGTCAGTTTACCCATGTGTCAACTCTTTCAGCATTCAAACCAAATTAAAAAGTTGGTTATATCTTACCTACATAAGGGTTTATGCATCATGTAATCTTTTAAATCCATCAACTTTAATTGAGACATTTGCCTTATAGGTTACAAGAGGTTATGTCATGCTATGTGACAGGTTTTGTAATCTGTTAGAAACTCCCTCAAGCTATTCACACACAATTTGCATAATTACAAGAAAATGATTAAACGGTTGCAAAAGTTTGGGGCTTTCAGCCAAAGAGGTTTACAAACTACATTTAATGCATTCCACCATCCTCATTTTTCTAATGAGCAGAATTTTAAATTCTTTGAAATCAGATGTTTTTTGTTGTGAGTTTATTAACAAATCAAATACTCAACTAATTGGTGAAAATCTAAATAAATCTAAACAGAATATTTAGAAGAAAGAAATTTACCATTTTTATCACTGTAAATGTGCAAGACAGTAGCATTGAGGTGTTTCACATTATGATTGACAAAAAAAACAAAAAAAAAATTTGCATATAATCAAGAAACCAACATAGGCAACTGTGCCAAAAGAATCCGGTAAATTAAGGTTAACTTCATAATTACCTTGTCATCAAAACATGATTAAATTGTGGCATTAATACTTTTTTACACATGGGTGTGTATTGTTATGAAACATCACTGAGCGTTGCAAATTGATTAAGTATAGGCAACTAGCTGTATCTCCCAATACGGGAACGCCCAAGCCGCAGCTGTACCCTCCTCGTATCTCCACCTAAACTTACCGAAACCCTTCTAACGGTCCAAGTTTTGTTTCCAAAGAAAAGATCATAACACTTTACAATAAGGGTGCACTAATGTGCATTAATTCATCCTTAGCTAATGCGCAGATAATCATGAGTTAATGTGTAACTCATGAAGAACTAAACCATTAATTAATGATTACTGCATCAGCAACTAATAAAGAGTCAATATGATTAATAAATAAAGTAATACATGAATTGCTATTAATTCAATGTGGCATTGTGTATTAATTCCTTAATAACATATTTTCTTAACTAATAGTGTAAATTAATGTGTTAATTACCACAATTAGTCAAAGCTATGCACTTCAACTTTCAGTTGTCTGCTTTAATTAATTATTAGCTAATGATTTGCAAAGGTATCACTATGCTATGACTTTACTTGATGGGGCACATCATTATTAACTATTCATTTAGTAATTGTAGTAATTTGCACATGAATTTCCACTAACAATGAAGTAATTAATCATAATGCATATTAGTGTACCTGTCATATTATCTGGAAGTTGAAATACAAGGCTTTGGCTCATTCTGGTAATTAACATATTAATTAATACTATTAGTTAAAAAAAATGAGTTATTATGGAATTAATCCACAATTACATATTTAATTAATAACAATTCATGTATGAACTAATACATTAACCTTACAGGCTCTTAATTAGTTCCTAATGTGGTAATCATTAATGAATAGCTTAAATAATCATTAGTTACACATTAATTCAGTATTATCTGTGCATTAGTTAAGCATGAATTAATGCTTATTAGTGCACACGTATTGTAAAGTGTTACCGAAAAGATTAAAGTGTTTTTTTGTTGTTTTTTTACAGGTTTGGATGCATACAAAAATACAATGTCATCACATCATAATCAGAACAAATTAAGCACACCCAAAACAACTTCATTCTTTTCTTTATCTTTACTGAAACTGAATGACACCGTTTTAGTTGCAGAGTACAAAACTTTCTTGAATGTTACACATTAATGACCTAAAGCATGTGTCCACCCATGTGCTCAAGCATTTCATTGGAAATGATCATGCGTTTGTCACACCTCTGTTTCAGAACTTCTGTTTTTTTTTTTTTTGTCACAAAGTTCTTTGGAATTGACGTTCCAAGATCCTTTACCATCTTTGAAATGTTTCCATTGCACTAATGGCTCTTTTACAGTGGAACAAGATCAAAAAGCAAAAAACAACCATTGCATTAAAGTGTAGAATAAAAATATAGGCACTATTCATAAAATAATTGTAGTATTGTATGACTGAGCACCAGACTCATCCCTCACAGTCACATTACACCAGGATTTTTTTTCTATTCTGGATAGCTCTGCAACTGATGAAAACACCCAAATAGAAAAAAACCCCCAGAAAATTAAGAAAACCTCATCAATTTGACAACACATGTGCTGCAAATACTCACAATGTAAATAAATACATAAAACGAGCTGCAAATAGAACCTTTTTTCCAACAAGGGGGATGCCATCCCTCCCTCAAGTCGAACCCTGGTTAGTGCACTAATTCATGTTAACCCTTAAAGAGTTTCTGTATCTTGGGGGATACAGACATTTAACAGGCTGTAGGGGGAGGGGCATTATTTGGTTGCAGTTGATGAGAAACACTGATGGTGTGATGGGTCATGTAATAAGGTCATGTGACTTTTTGCTATAACATTCCAAATATTTGTATCAAACTCCAAAATGGCAGCATACGTAGACAAAGGCACTGACCATGAGCAAAGTGTTTTTATATTTTTCACGATTATGATATTTTAGAGTGATTTTGTTTTAGAAAGTAGTTTTTTAAGGATAGTTTTACATGTTCGTGTTGATATTTTCAAAATAATCTTCTCACAACTTTGATTATCAGGCATTGAATGTTTGTATCCCGGGGGATACATTGCCCATATAAGGGTATTTTCCAGGGCTGATCACTCACAGATCTTCTTATGTTTTGAGGCCTGTTCTCTACAGATATTGAATGGGATAAAG